AAAATGAAACAATTATTGATGAAAATAAAACATCAAAATTAATGAATACTGAAAATATTGTAACAACTAATACAAACAATAAACATATAAAACAAAACTCTATTGACAACAAACAAAGTGAAATTGATTTAACTCAAGAAGTGAATAAAACGGATAAAATTAAAAGAAATAGCAATACATCGGAACAGTTAAGTGATACGAAAAAGTCTGCGGACAGGAAAATGTCAATTAATTCAAAAACAAATGAAACTTTGAAAAATCGGTCGAAAAGAAGTACAAGTATTACATCACAAACCTCTGTCAGATCGAGCAGAAGATCTTCAAAGGATAGAAAAGATTCGGTTGTGTCCACAAAAAGTAGTGCTTTCAGCCATAAATCACATGAAAGTGTAAAAACTATAAGTAGTAGTAACAAGAAATCAGATGAAACACTAAAAACTATAGATATAGAAGATTCAAGTAAAACAAATATTGATAATAAGTTTATTACGAAAGATATTGATTTAAACAATGATAATGATTTTAAAGACAATGTTAATGATGTTGAAGATAATGTTTATGATGTTAAAGATGATGATAATAATGAAAATATTGATAATACAGATGTAATACGTGATAAAAATGATATTATTAAAGATAATAATTTAATTGAAAAAAATGTTGACAAACAAAGTGATGAACAAATCAATAATAATATGGATTCAAATAATGACAATTTTAAACAAACTAATCAATTGTATGAAAATCAAAATGATTACAATGACAGTGAAGACAATAAAGATAATATTATAAGTCATTTGATTGAGCAAAATAATGATAGTCCTATTGATAATCCAATTGATAATCCAATTGATAATCCAATTGATAATCCAATTGATAATCCAATTGATAATCCAATTGATAATCCAATTGATAATCCAATTGATAATCCAATTGATAATCCAATTGATAATCCAATTGATAATCCAAATGATAATCCAAATGATAATCCAAATGATAATCCAAATGATAATCCAAATGATAATCCAAATGATAATCCAAATGATAATCCTATTGATAATTCTACAGACAATCCAAATGATAATCCTAATGACGATAGAGATAATGTCGAGAAATATTCAGAGCAATGGGATAGCGATTCCGAGACCACCATAATTGACAATTACAAAGTGATTGCTGAAGACATTAATAACAATTTTGTTGAGGAGATTGTTGACCAAAGTATTGTCACCAATGAAACGAAGGTAACAAATAATGTCATAAATGATAAAAATAGCACAAAATTTGTACCATCGGATAAAAAGAAGAATATTCGGTTGGGAATCATTGAAAAAGCTAAAGAAATGAATGATAAAGAAATGGTTAAAACAAGTAATCAAAAAACAAAAAATCCTAAAATTACTAAAATCAGTGAAAAACCAACAAAAACTACTAATAATAATAAATCCATTCCGAGTTCAAACTCTAGTAGTAAATCAACCAAAACTAGTGATAAAATGTCAATTAATGCAAATTATAATAATAATGAAAATGTCAAAACAAATCGATTACAAAAAACAAAACAAAATACTTCCGATAATAAAAAATTAACAAAAAGTAATAAAACAATTAAAGATAATAAAAAATCTTTAGTTGAAACCAAACAACAAAAACAGAGTAAAGAATTAAATAWAAGTAAAGATAATAAATATTTATTGGATAAGAGATCCAGTTTGTCATCAAGTGATATGAGTCTTAATAAGAGTATTAAAGATAAAAATAGTGTCAAATCAATGGCACTAAAGAATTCTGTTTCAAATCAAGAATTAAACGCTCAAAACACAGACAATGAAAATGATAATCAATTAAACTTTTCGAGTGAAGAGTCAATATTTGATTCAGTTCTTAATATCGAAAGTATGGATAAAGAAGATCTGGAAAGTTATCAACCATTGATGGACACGGGATATGTCATTACAAGTTCATTGTCACCACTGGAACACATTGAAGCAGTTTATTCATCAAATAAAAATCAGTTAGAAGTGTTGAAAAGTCCGAAATGCGAGTCAAGATGTGGTCATAAATTTCATTTCAAAACAATGCCCGAAAAGTTGGGCAAAATTAATACCAGTCATATCGGCTCAAGAGTCGACTCTAGACTACCGACTGACTACAGATATCCGGATAGATATCGAGTCAGAAGAATACGAAAAGAGTATAGAGAGAGACCCAGTTCTGATGGATACAAATCAATTGATCCCAATTTGATTACACAGACCGTTGAAAAAAGTTTGAGAAAGTAAGTCACAGAAAAAACATAAATAAAAAACAAATATTAATGAAATTATCGAAAAATTGATTAACTAATTATACAAATTATATGGAAATGTTTTTGACAAACAAAACAAAAATGTGACCCAAAAATGTTTTTTTATTATTATTTTTTTTTTAATAATAATTTTCTGTTCAAAATATATATAAATTAGATACCAATTAGAGCGCAAACTATTTGAAGAGTTACACGATTTAAAACGTTTTCAGATTAGGACGGGAAAGACAAATGAGATTTTAATGGTTAAACGTTTGGTCGATAAATTCAGAAAAGAGGTTAAGGCCCCGGGTATGACTGATTTTGACAACACTTTCACTTATAAAAACTATGAATATTATCTCTACGGTAAGTCATTTATATTAATTATTATTATTATTATTATTATTATATGATTTATTTATTTATTTTTCTTTGACATTTTCATTGAGAGAAATCTAATTTAATGACTATTATTAATATGTAAATAACAACTATTTAATAATAGTAGCAATAAATGTCTAAAATTAATTTTTTATGACATGTATAAATGCATATATATTTTATATAAATTATATATAAATTTATATCATATGAATATTGTATTATATTTGTAGATCAATTGCGTAAATTATCAGAGTCTAACCAGGGAAAGGTCGCATTAATAACCAGGGTATTGTTATAAATCAAATAAATAACATTTTAATAATTAATTAATTGTATTTACATATACAGTCAGTGAGTCATGAAAATATACAATTAATTAGAAATTCAAATGAAAACCTAACACAGAGTAACCCTGAACTCATACAAAACAACAACCAATTAATTAATATTAAACAAAATTGCAATAATTGTAATAATAATAATAATAGCAACGAAACGTTGGTCACAGATAAGGAGGATTGTGACACTGAAACTGAAACTGAAAATCAATGCATTAATAATGAGCTGATATCACAAACAGAAGAAGAAGAGGCAAACAATGACGAGAGGATTGTGGAAATCAATTCTTCACAAACAATGGACAATAAATCATTGAATACAAATCAATGCCAATCAATAACAGAGACAACCAATGATTTAAAGTTAGATTTAGGTAATAATAATGATAGAGATTTAGTAGATTTAAATCAATTTGATAATCAATCAGACCGTGATTGTAGTGATGGCCGACCATCGCCAACAACAACTATAGAAACAGTAAAGAAGTCTAAAGATAATTGTATTTTACCACTGGTTGCAGATGCAGATGATATACACGAAGATTTATTAAATAATAATAGATTGCAAAACATCGAAGAAGTTGGTCATAGTTTTTCAAATAATAATAATACTTTGGGGAAATTGACAAAAAAATTAAGAAATAGTTTCGATGAAATGGTTGACCAAATTCAACAAACAGCTTATCAAGAATATAGTTCTCTAATAAAACAATCTTTAGATAATAATAATAATAATAATAATCAAAATAAAGATGAGAAACATTTAGAGTCAATCCTTCATCAATCTAGTAATAAGAGTGAAGAACCTAAACATGATTTACAATCATCTATAGATAAAAATTATGAATTATATGGCGATTTTCAATCAACTGTTGGATCAGATACTCGCAGACAATTACTAATTGAAACAACTGATAGTAAAACAACAAGTATTGAAAGTAAATCCTATGAACTATCGGACGCAAAGTCGACATACGGTTCGTTTCATTCAGAAAATAGTTTAAAAGAGTTGAATATCAGTTCAACTAAAGTGATGATAAAATCTTCAAAATTGAAAAAACATAAATCAATTGAAAGGCATCGCTCAAGAAAAGAGTGTCTCAAATCTGCTAAAGATATGACACCATCGGAAAGAGCGAAGAATAGACGGAAACACAAACGCCTTAAGACAACTATTCCGGTCAGACATAAGATTAATGTACCGATCGATGAGATTAAAGAGCGATGGAAACAGATAAAGGAAAGGGAGACAAAAAAGGCTCATATATTTGGTTGGCATCAATACGACAGCCAATTATATAATCAATTCATACTTTGGTATGAACTAAACAAATATTATCTAAGACAACAAACAAACAAAATTTTATCACAAATACCTGTCTATCAAATTGAGTCCAAAGTAACGGCAAAAGTTGACACACAAATTGATAGATATTTTGAAGCGGAAAACAAAATTTTTTTACAACGATTTTCTCCAATTCATCGATAAAATAATAATAGCTATAAATAAATGATTGATTCATAAAATAGACAAAAAACAAAACAAAAAAAAACTTAACTTTGCTTAAACTAGTCTGTGATTACAAAAATAAAATTATTTAAAAAAAATCAAATATATATATCGCTTATTATCAAATTTAAACAATTATTATTGTAGTAATATAATTAGATTACAATTTTTATTATTAATTATTATTAAACATACAACTTAACAATTACAATGTTTTTTTTATTAAATGTAAATCTAAACAATTTGTTAACATTGTTGTTATTATCAAATATTTCTTGCAAAATATATTCTAAAATTATAGTTTTTAAATAAAAAAATTGTTTTTTAAACAAAAATTTCTTACAAATTAATACTCGAAAAACACTTTTAACAACAAAACACAAATATTTTGATAATAATTATTATTAATAATAATTGCAGAAAAAATATATGCATAACATTAATAATTATAATTTATTATTAAGTTTAAAAAGACATACAGAAAAAAATCGGATTAAAAATATATAAAATAAACAAAAATTTAAAAACTGTTTGATTATAATATTAGTTATGAATTGGTTTCTTAAACTTTTCTCAAACTTAAGATCAGAAAATTGATGCCAAAAATAGATGATGAAGAATAAACTGCAAACAGTGGTGATAACACATTTGACAACAATATCTCTCCCCTACAAGAACTGGTCGCACCATTCAGCCAGACATTGTTGACAATCTTTTGCTTGTTTAGCATTAGCGCCGCTCAAGTCTTTCAGCCATTCGATGAACAGTTCCTGATTCTTCTTGAGTACCAAAAACTGTCCCAAAACAACATAAGCCTAATAATTGACAACAAATTCATTATATGATATATATATATATAGATAGTTGACTAAACAATTTCACACGCATTTTGTTGTACACGTGCTGTAAGAAAGTATACAAACCTTATCGAAACCTTTGGCCTCCAGTCTCTTGCCTAAGACATCGCCAATTCCGGCCAAATCTGTGACCGGCTTTTCGCCCATCGGTTCCGACACAAAGTTGTGATGTTTTTGCGAAGTGCTCGACATTGTGTCTGTGTTTGTGTCAATGGATATTSTCTTTCAAGTCAACCAATAGGTGTGTTGTTGTAGATGAAAGTGATGGTTGAAGTTGACAGTCGACTCTTCACTCAAAACGTTAAGCAAACGGCAAATCAATTGATGTTTTGTTTATTGTTTTAAAGTCTTTAACAATAAGTGATGTCATTTGGAAAGCATTGCCCGCAATATTGCTAATAAATTTTGTGTACATAAAGTACGTCTAAAATACATTAATATATATAACATTTAATTTTAATATTAATTATAATTACAACCAAAAAATGTTATTTAAATTACTAATAAAAATAGTTTTAATTATATTATGAAARCTATTGAAAGCGMTTGTATTTAATTATTTGTTATAACTAATAATAAGTTTTTCAAAGTTTATAATTATCGGACATAATTGATGTCCACATTATAATTGAAATGTATGTTTGCATTGCAATGAAAGACAAACAAAATTCACGTTTTTATTTGAATTGTCTGTTAATTATGGTATCAATTGATCATAACTTTGAAGACAACAACCATTATTGAAGTGACGGACAGACAAACAGATTGCTGAAGACATCATTGAACTGTTGACAACATGTCAAAGACAACTAAGAATAAACACGTGACACAAGAAGTGTTAAATCAGTTTGAATTGCCTCAAGAGTGTCAACAAATTGTAAAAGTAATGATTATTTTGTGACCAAATTAATTGATAAATTAACTAAATATTTATTTGATCCAAATATATAAATAGGTGATCRCTTCTCGTGGCAATAATCTGCACGAAGTATTGACTGCCGATGGCCAACAGTTTTTGGTGTCAATGCCGCCAAAGTTCCGCAAATGGATTTGGATTAAGAGAGGTTSGGATTAACGACAACAACAAAAACCATTTGATTCAATTGTAATGYTTTTTTGTTCTTACTTTTAGGTGATTATCTGATTGTCGATCCCATAGAAGAGGGCAATAAAGTTAAGGCAGAGATTGCAAACATTTTAATGAAAGAACAGATTAAATATATTAAAGAAGAAGGAAAATGGTTTGCAATTAGATTTTTAGTGTTTAATACATGGTTTGATTGATTGATTGATTGTTTTTTGATGAAAAGGCCGCCAGCTTTTGATGATAATGACCAAAATGAAGATAAAGATGAAGATCTTCTTTTTAGGAATACTAATAGAGAACAATATATAAGTGAAAGTGATTCGAGTGATGATGAAGAAGATAGCGATGATAATGAAGTTAATGACAATCATAATAATGATTTAAATCAATAATTAGTTAGTTTTGTATAAATTTTATTAATATTGTTATATTAATTAAATGTAAAATAAATATATTTATATACAATATATTCCTATATTATATGAGAGAGCTTTATGTATCTAATAATTTAATTAAATAAACATTATTTTTATAATTTGTTTATTATATACCGCAAACATTTGTGTAAAATTTTTTTTTCATATAATATATAAATTTATTAATTAAATAATTTTTTATTAAATAAAAAAGTTTTTTTCAAATGTCATGTTATATATGAATACAATGTTTACAAAATACGAGTCAATCAGTTGTCAAAAAAATGTTAAACAAATGTGATTATAGTTAGTGTGATGTTTGTTATGTGATCCCCGATATTCCGATCATTGACCGCAACCTAATGGTCAACAATGACAACAAACAAACCATATCATTATTATGGCATCAGTTTTGTCAGACCAAGTGACCAAAAGGCCGCTTTGGTCGGCGATAAACAGTCCGTCAAGAAATTGGATGGAAATGAAATCAAAGAGTTTTACGAACAGCTCGTCTCGACAAATGATGACCAAATCAATAATGTAATTAAGAAATCGGTCAAAGACTKTAAATCATTGCATTCAATCGKTGATACCAACAAAGTTATTACAAGAAATGTCACCAAACGTGACCATAGAGTTAATGATTACAGAGTTGACTCTATCTTCAAGTTGTGTCAAAACGGAGACTTTGAGGGCTGTCAACGATGGCTTCAATTAGGTTACGATATTAATACAAGAGATCATTATATGTGGACACCATTGATGTGTAGCGCCTGTGCTGGACATCAATCAATTGTTGAGCTATTGCTTGACAATAATGCAGACATTAGTGCTAAAGATAAGAAAGGAAGCGATGTTTTGCATTTGGCGATAATCAATGGTCACAATCATATTTATGATCTCATTGTTAATCATCTGAATAAAAGTGATAATTATGATGCAAATGATGACAAGGATTGTGAACCACTTGATGAACAAACAGAAACTATAGGAAAAGGTTGTGATATTTGTCACCAGCGATACAATGGATGTGATATTCGGCACAACAGTTCAATTGTTCATCAAATTCATACCGAAAGTAGTGAACAATTGAAAAGATATTACGAAATACCAGAAAATAATAGAGGATTTCAAATGTTGTTAAGAAGTGGTTGGACTCGTGATAAAGGTTTGGGTCCCGAAGGATCAGGAAATAAATCATTAATAAAAACTGTGCTAAAACGCGATCGCTTGGGTCTGGGACTCAGTGGTGGTAGTGATCGTCGTAACAAATGTCGGGTCACACACTTCAAAGCATACGATACAAAATCAGTGGACAATCATATGAATAAATCAAAGACATCGAAAATACAGGGAAGAAAACAATCGTCAAACAGATTAAAACAAATAGAAATAAATTTTAGGCAACAATTCAAATAAAAACTTTGATTTTATTTATTTATTTTTTAATACAATTTGTTAAGTAAAATGATTAAAACATTTTTATCAGAAATTATCATTAAATTTATGATCTTTTTATTTGTTTAAGTAGTTGTAAATTTATATTTCTCTAAATTAAATGAAAATACATTATCTATATTGTACTGTATATTATATACTTTAATAACATATAGACTATATTGTATTATATACACCGTTTAATATAATAATAATAATTTATATTAAAATGATTTTTATAGTTAGTTATATAATATAAGCCTCTAAACGAGCGGAAAATATTTAATTTCATTCAATTTGGAGCCGAAAAACACGATTTACTAAAATAATATTTGTATATATATTTTATGTTAAAAATGATAATTAGAGACAAATGATTAATCACAGTGTTGGCTGCAATGGATGTTTACATTCAATGATTTTTTTTTAAAGTAAAAATAGTAAATACGATAATAAATAAATATTTAAATTTTTTCAGTCGACATAATCTTGAAATATAAGTCTCACAAAACCCCATTCGCCCTGCAATGGTGTGGCACAGAATGGACACATAGCGTGAAAACCATTAGTTCCGTGAGGTATTGGCACCTGAGACCAGTACCTGTTATGATATCAAATTAGGATTTTAAATAATGTTATTAAATAGACAGATATTTTTGAATTGTATTATATGAATATGAGTTAAACTTTTTAATCTCCTTTATTTAATTGGTATTTAATTAGTAATGAATATATAAAAATGTGTATCAAATATGTCAAACCTCGCCGACTTATCCGAAGTCATGTGTCCGCATGGGTTGAAACAAAAGCTAGGCTTTAGGATATCCATATATAGTGAGGGTTCAATACCCATTGTAAGCTTGGCTACTGGGCTAATATCGAGGCACATGGGACAGGTGCGTCCATTGGTGTTACGATTCTGACCCCAATCGTGCAATCCCTGAACGTGACCGCAATTGAGGTAAACATAGGGCTGTTTGTCTGTTTCACTTAACGATGCACTTCTTCGTGGTATCACAAGTGTATTAAGACCTACTGGACATTGAGGTCGGGCGGCATTCAGTTCATCGACCATTTCTTCTAAATGTTTTTTAGTGGGCGATGTGGCCAATCCTTCAGCTGACCTCCAAAGAAGTGTCGCACCGCATAAATCAATAAGTGTTCCATCGGTCAAAATGTTGGTTTCGTTATCGATTTTATTGCCCTTTTGAGAGGCGGATCGGGTTTCACGGACTGAATAAATTTCTCCACAAACGGACACTTCTCTCCAAATGCCACCAAATTGTGGATTTGAGGAATCATTTGTTTGCTTAACTTTTGGATGCATTATTAACACCCCATTTGTGGTCAAACCGTCAATTTCGCCGTTTTGTTGCCATTTTGTGGCCTTTTCTCCTAAAAATATATTTTTTGATGAATCAAATCCGGCGGCGTATACACGGACTTTATGAGGGGGTTTGCGCTCTATTAATATACGGCACGCGAAGCGTGATATTGTGCTTTGTTGGACCAATTTATCGGGACTCGTTTTATTAGGATCTGATACCATTGTATCAATAACAACAAAATCAATTGGGGTCTCAGATGAACGACCAATCTATCAAATTTAATATACAGTATATCTTAACCTATATTTACCGTAATAGCAATAATTTATATAAAATAAATACCTGAAACATATCGGTGTCTTCATCTGATTGATATTCAACAATAATAGCTTGAGATCTGTTAAGTGTATACGATATTGCGTGTTGATCCTTCTCTTGGATCGCCTATAATAAACAATAATTCAAATCAAACTAAATGTTAATAATAATCATAAATCAATTGTTAGACTAATTGTTAACAAACCCGTGTGTGTTGTGGCTGTTTAACCACATAATGTTTTGATTTTTTAATGCCGTTAGCCATCGGTCTCTTAAACAACAAATATTTACTTTTACGTCGACCTCTTTCTCCCTGAGGAAGGCATCCATTATAACTGCAAATCGGATAATAAATTTAACTTCCGTTCATAAACTAGAGTATCATTAATATAATTATTAAAATACAAACCCAAGAATAACAAGTTCTCCGTAAACAATAGGATAGGGCTTTTGGTTGGCCATCAAAATTGCATTTGAATCTAATTTATTATAATCCATATGTTGTGGTGATGAGGGACCAGAACTACTGGTCGACCGATTGGCTACCAGTTTAGCCGCAGCCGCACTCATCTGACGACTATCCACTTGGGGTCTAAAGTAATTCAAATACATATATAATATATTAATTAYTAATTATCATTACAAGAATTTTTTTTTAAATRTTTATTTGAATATAAAAACTAGTAAATAAAAATATATAATAATAAATATTTTCAATACCCGTTACAGAAATATCACTATTAAAAACATATTTACATTAAAGATAGATTTAATTATCATTTTTATATCTTAAGTTATAAGTCAAAAATAACACTTTTCACTAATACTGTAGTATAAGTCTTATAATAAAATCACAACAGATATCACAAAACATTCAATATTTTTTGTTGACTTTGTTTTCAAATAAAGTTAATCATCGAAACTCTGACCATATAATTGCTTTTTATCGTCAATTCATTGTAAACATATGTTTATTGGTGTAATGTAGCAAATGTTACAAAATAATAATAATTGAAAAAATTGATGACAAAAATAATAAACTAAACAGACATATATAGTATACAATATAGATATAAATAAAAAAACCTTATTTCATATTTAATAATATACTTTTTTAAGTTAGGATTGAGTTCATTAAAAAGTATATAAAATTAAGGCAAAAGTTAAGGTCTATAATTGGGTTGAATTGAAAAACATATGAAGTTTTTTGTATACAATTGTTATATCAAAATGAAATTAATTACTAAACAGGTTTGTTATATGTGTTGTATCTCTTATATACCGTACACACTATAAGCCTTATCTAACCATTTAATTGCTACTAAAGCCATAGTAAAACATAAGTTATTATTTAATATGTTTTATAAATAAATATCTTTTTACAACTAAATATCATATAACAGAAATACATAATAAAAAACAACTTTTGATAGCAATAAACAACTCATTGTTTTGTAAAATAAATTAAAGAAAACATTTTGTAGACAACAAAACGTCTACAAAATAATTAGTTGTAATTAACTAAAACTAATCGTCAATTTAGATACCAATCTAATGACATTTCATTAGTTAATATACAACAAAATATTGTATCAATTTTATAGTATTAATTAAAATATCATATTTAAAAAAATAATATAATATCTATCTATATTTGTCTTTATATCAATTGCAATACAAATAAACATTTTATATAACAATTATTATTATCACTGACTAAGACAATGGGATTAGGTTTTGGTGATTATTATAAAGACAACTCAACAAAGTTATGGTTATTATTATGTTTTCTATAATCATATGATATGTGTATTGAGTGRTAAACAAAACCCATTCAATACATTGAACTCATTATACAGTAAGTCATGTCTCGTATATAGTATTGTACTATAAATCACATGATATTATTGTATAATTGTTTTGATAATATAATAGTCATTGAAAAATAATTTTATAAAATCAGACACATATTCACAATTATAAAACTATTGGACTATTAATAATCAATTGATTTAAAAGTAATATTATATTACTATACGTTTATAATATTGAATTACATATACATTTGGGWAATATATTACAACAAAACAAAACTCACATTAACTGTAAACTGTCGGGCATTTCATCGCTAAGTTAAACACCAATAATAATATTGACAACAAAAATATCATTTGACTATTAAAATCATTGACAACATATTGCTGTCCCGCAAATTGTATCACTAAAACTCATCAATGATATCAATAATTATTAACTAATTGTATAATAAATAAATTGTATCAATAAATCAATCAATCATTTAATAGTTTGTATATAAACAATGAAATCTTGATATTAATATCAATATTGTTATAGTCATAGCATTATAATGATTGAGTCATTACATTGAAAAAACATTGACAATCAATACTATTATAACAGTTATACTATATGTTAGTTAAATAGTGGACAACAGTGGCGCCCATTGGCGGCAATCGATGATAACATTGCATTCAATTAGCATTGAATGAGTCATTGACTAAGCAGTGGTGGCGCTTGTGTTGGGCACACAAATAACAACTAGTGTTGTATCAAATGATTTATTGTTTTATATATAACTAGTAATTTGTTTTAACCCAATTAATTAATTAAAGTTGAATATTCACATAAATTATAACATAAAATTTGCGGTTAATTTATTATATAATAATTTATTAATTTTGATTAATTGATTATAACTTGAAATAATTTGTGCAATAAAAGTGTCAATTAGTGGACCGCGAGTTTGTGTCAACACTAGTGAAAACTATCCCCAAAAAAGTGTTTCAACACTTTGTATACAAGTATTGAATTGCCTTACGTTTAGTCAATTTGATTGACAACTGTTTTGTTATAAAAACTATTATTAATTTATTTTTTTAAATTTAATAACTATTTATTAACTRATTATTAATTTAATGAATAATTGTATTAAAAGACGGATTATTAAGTGAGGGAACAGATAAACCTATGGCTGACAGTGTAGAGTCCGGTCAGGACTCGGGCCAGCAATCGTTGCCGAATGAGACCAATATAGTGTCGGTGGCGTTGGCCGACACCGATGTGGTCATCGCTTACATTAGACGCGTCATTCCGGCGCTTCTCGAAGAGGACAACAGTATTCATCCATCGCTGGATTGGGCGCTCAAGAATGAGACCACAATTGAAAAGATCAAGAAATTTATATCTGATGGACAAATGCGAGCGCTTCTCATACAGAGATCTTCGTCCAAAGGTTTGTTAACTTTTCTTATTTTTTTAAAAAGAAAAAGATATATTGCGAGTGGTTTTCTCGTATTTACAGAAGAAGAAGAAGTGCCGGAATCTGGCGGTGACAGTGACGACAATGTCATGTATCACATATCAGAAGAGGTTCGCTTTATGAACGCTAAGATTAATAGTGTTGTACTGATTAAGAGGGGTCTGGTATTGGAGGCCGAGAAGAATATATCGTCACAATTAAGAGTCATGAATCTGAACGATACATCTCCTTATGAAACACTTCACTCTTATGTCTCGGCGGCCATCGCTCCCTATTTCAAGTCGTACGTCAAAGAGACCGGAAGAGCTGAAAGGTATGAATTATAAAGATATAAATCTAGTTATYATTGTTTTATGAATGGATGGATTTGTTGGACAGGGATGGCGACAAAATGGCGCCGACAGTGGAGAAAAAGATTGCAGAACTTGAGATGGGTCTTCTTCATCTTCAACAGAATATAGATATTCCAGAAATTACTTTAGTAATACATCCATTGGTTGTATCAGTGATGAAAAAATGTGCTGAAGAGAAAAGACGTGTCGTTGTCGATGATTTTGGAGACAAATGCAATGATTCTGTATTTTTAAATCAATTACAAAGTGGTGTCAATCGATGGATTCGAGAGATACAGAAAGTAACAAAATTAGATAGAGATCCATCTTCTGGTACCGCCATTCAAGAGATTAGTTTTTGGCTGAATCTCGAGAGAGCTCTTCTTCGTATTCAAGAGAAAAGAGAGAGCACTGAAGTGGCCATCACTTTAGAGATACTAAAAAATGGAAAACGTTTTCACGCGACCGTTAGTTTTGATGCCGACACTCGTCTTAAAGAAGCGATTTCGACAGTTAGTGATTACAATCCATTGATGAAAGATTTTCCGCTAAACGATTTGCTGGCGGCAACAGAACTCGACAAAATAAGACTTGCATTGCAATCGATATTTCAACACTTGAGGAAAATACGAAATACTAAATATCCGATCAAAAGAGCTCTTAAGCTTATGGAAGCCATCTCTAGGGATCTAATGTCACAAATGTTGAAAGTGTTGGGAACCCGTAGAATGATGCACATTGCGTTTGAAGAGTTCGAAAAAGTGGTGTCCGCTTGTTTCGATGTATTCATCACTTGGGATGACGAGTACGACAAACTTCAAGGATTGATGAGAGATATCGTTAAAAAGAAACGCGAAGAACACTTGAAGATGGTTTGGCGAATCAATTTGGCTCATAAAAGACTACAGTCGCGAATGGAACAAATGCGTAAATTTCGACGACAACATGAACAGCTTCGGGCAGTTATTATTCGTGTTCTAAGACCAATAGCTAAGTCAACCAAAGAAGTCGAGGCTATCAGTGATATTAATTCAGAAAAAGATGGGACACTTTCATCAATAGATTCGGCTGATATGAATGCCATTGAAGAAGTGAATATAGCCTATGAATTAGTTAAAGAAGTCGATGCACTTGACATTAGTAAAGAAGGAACTGATTCTTGGGAGGCATCGATGAAGCGATACGAAGAACGTATAGATCGCGTTGAGGCGAGAATTACGGCCAAACTAAGAGATCAATTGGGAATTGCAAAGAATGCTAACGAAATGTTTAGAATATTTTCGCGATTTAACGCATTGTTTGTGAGGCCACACATTAGAGGCGCTATCAGAGAATATCAGACACAACTGATCCAAAGAGTTAAAGATGACATCGAAGCACTTCACGAGAAATTTAAAGTACAATATCCACAGAACAAGGCCTGCAAAATGAGTCGCGTTCGTGATTTGCCTCCCGTTTCCGGATCTATTGTTTGGGCCAAACAAATTGAAAGACAACTTTCTGTTTATATGAAACGAGTTGAAGACGTTTTGGGCAAAGGATGGGAGAATCACGTCGAGGGACAGAAACTTAAGAGTGACGCCGACAGCTTCCGGATGAAACTAAACACCAATGGAATATTTGAAGAATGGACGCGAAATGTCCAACAAAGACAACTTAATGTTTCCGGAAGAATATTTAATATCGAAAGTTTTCGATCGAAGAGCGGAAAAGGAAGTATTCTTAAACTTCGAGTAAATTTTATGCCCGAAATCATTACGTTAGCCAAAGAAGTAAGAAATTTGCGAAGTTTAGGTTTTAGGGTACAGTTGGCTATTGTTAATAAAGCCCATCAGGCAAACCAACACTACCCGTTTGCCGTTTCCCTAATTGATACCGTCAAGTCATATGAAAGGGCGTGTGAGAAAGTGGAACATAGACCTAATGTAGCACTTCTTGTGGCCGGACTTAAGAGAGATGTACAGGATTTGATTAGCGAAGGTGTCGGTCTTGTTTGGGAATCATATAAAAGAGATTCTTATGTCCAACGACTGGCTGAATGTGTCTATAATTTTCAGGAAAAAGTTGACGAACTGTTAGATGTGGCCGAACAGATCGAAATTGAGGTCAAAAGTATTGAGGCCTGTAGTTATGGTACAACTGTTCTCTCAGAAATTTTAAATAAAATACAGAAAGCCGTCGATGACTTGAGTTTACAAAGATATTCAAATCTAAGCGAATGGGTTAACCGTTTGGATGAAGAGATTGAAGAGAAACTTGCCGTCAGACTTGAAGCCGGCATTAAGGCGTGGACACAGGCATTGTTGGGCAATAAAGAAGACGATATGGATATGTTAACTGACACCGACTCACCTGTTAATCCGGTGGTTAAACTCGGCGGTGATCCCAAAATTCAGAGAATGGTCCACGAAATAAGAATCACAAATCAACTGATGTATGTGAGTCCCAGTGTAGAGGAGGCACGCTTTGAACTGATGCAACAGTTGTTTGCGTGGGAAAATGTGGTGCTGACCCTCAATAGGATTGAGAGCACCCGATATCAAGTGGGCTTAGATAGACCAGCAGCTCCACAATATAGAGATCTACTGAACCGTATGCCTCAGGGAGTAACGGTTCTCGAGGCCGCTTACGAAGCAATTGAAAGTAAAATCAAACAAATGCAAGAATATATTACTCAATGGCTGACTTATCAATCACTATGGGATTTGCAACCCGATATGCTTTACACAAAACTCGGCGAAAGTATCATACTCTGGATGAATACTTTAGTAGAAATCAAGAAATCGCGAACAACTTTTGATACAACAGAAACACGCAAAGAGATCGGACCTATTATTATTGATTACACTAAAGTTCAATCAAAGGTAACCCTTAAATACGATTCGTGGCATAAGGAAGTGCTCAGCAAATTTGGTCAACTTCTTGGAAATGAAATGTCTGGTTTGCATTCAGTCATATCTAAATCGCGTACTGAATTGGAACAACACTCAATAGACACGGCAAACACTAAAGATGCCGTCACTTTCATTACATATGTTCAGTCACTTAAAAACAAGACTCGTCAGTGGGAACGGCAGGTCGACACTTACAAAGAAGGACAACGAATTCTTGAGAGACAACGGTTTCAGTTTCCTAATAATTGGCTTCACGTCGACAATATTGAAGGTGAATGGAGTGCTTTCAATGAAATTATGAAACGAAAAGACGCTTCCATTCAACAACAAGTCTCTAGTCTTCAGGTTAAGATTGTAGCTGAAGATAAGTCAGTCGAATCAAGAACTTTAGATTTTCTCCAAGAATGGGAAAGAGGTAAACCTGTTGGCGGATCTATTTTTCCAAAAGAAGCGCTCAATTTGTTAACTATTTTTGAGACAAAATTCAATCATCTAAGAGAAGATCGCGATAATGTTATGCGAGCTAAGGAAGCACTAGAACTTCTTGAGCCCGGTTTGGCACCAATTAATGCCAGCGATGAAAAACTTCAGGTAGCTCTCGAAGAATTGCAAGATTTGAAGGAAGTCTGGAGTGAATTGTCTAAAGTTTGGGAACAAATAGATTTATTAAAAGAGTTGCCATGGCTTTCGGTTCAACCGCGAAAATTGAGACAACAATTAGACGGACTAATGAATCAACTCAAAGATATGCCCGCAAGACTCAGACAATATGCTTCATACGATTACGTCAAACGTTTATTGCAATCATACACGAAGTCAAATATGGTTATCATTGAACTCAAATCTGATGCCTTAAAAGAGCGCCATTGGAGACATTTGACGCGTCAACTCAATGTTCATTGGGTTTTATCAGACTTAACACTCGGTCAGGTATGGGATGTGGATCTTCAACGAAACGAAGTCGTTATAAAAGATATAATACTAGTGGCTCAGGGAGAGATGGCACTCGAAGAATTCTTGAAACAGGTACGGGAGGCCTGGCAGACATATGAACTCGATTTAGTTAATTATCAAAATAAATGTCGAATAATTCGTGGTTGGGATGACTTGTTTAATAAAGTCAAAGAACATATTAATTCGATAACAGCTATGAAAATGTCTCCGTATTATAAAGAGTTTGAAGAAGACGCCCTGTCCTGGGAGGAGAAACTCAATCGTATTAATGCATTGTTCGACGTCTGGATTGACGTTCAAAGACGTTGGGTGTATTTGGAGGGAATATTCAGTGGCAGTTCCGACATTCAGGCCTTACTTCCAGTGGAAACCTCTAGGTTTCAATCGATTAGTTCGGAATATTTAAATTTAATGAAAAAAGTATCGAAAAGTCCAATGGTTATGGATGTGCTCAACATTCCYGGTGTTCAGCGTTCATTGGAACGATTAGCTGATCTTTTGGGTAAAATTCAGAAAGCATTGGGTGAATATCTGGAAAGAGAGAGGTCTTCATTTCCCAGATTTTATTTTGTTGGCGACGAAGATCTACTCGAAATTATTGGCAACAGTAAAAATATTCCTCGACTACAAAAACATTTCAAGAAAATGTTTGCCGGCGTTTCGTCTATTATTCTTAACGATGACTTTTCCTGTGTATTGGGTTTGTGTTCGAAAGAAGGCGAAGAAGTCCACTTTTCGACACCAATTTCTATCACTGAACACCCGAAGATAAATGAATGGCTTACTCTTCTGGAAAGAGAAATGCGAATAACTTTGGGTAAACTATTGGCTTCTGCGGTCACAGAGATTGCTCCCTTCAGAAGTGGAAATATAGAAATTGAAAAATTCATTAAATGGTTGGACTCATATCAAGCGCAGGTCATTGTTCTCGCGGCACAGATATCGTGGTCTGAATACGTGGAGAACACTCTCTCGCAAATACAAAATCAAAATCTTAAAACATGTGAACTATTGGAGAATGTCTTACAATCAGTAGAGCTTACACTTAAATTATTGGCCGATTCTGTACTTCAGGAACAACCAGCACTCAGACGTAAAAAATTAGAGCATTTGATCACCGAATTTGTCCATAAAAGAGATGTTACGCGAGAACTGATCAAAAATAATGTTTGTTCGCCCAAATCATTTGATTGGTTATCGCAAATGAGATTTTATTTCGATCCGCGACAACACGATGTCCTCCAACAGTTGTCCATACATATGGCTAACGCTAAGTTCAACTATGGCTTTGAGTATTTGGGAGTTCAGGACAAACTCGTTCAAACACCACTTACCGATCGCTGCTATCTAACGATGACTCAAGCATTGGAGGCACGACTCGGAGGTTCTCCATTCGGACCGGCGGGAACTGGAAAGACTGAATCGGTGAAAGCGTTGGGCAACCAATTGGGAAGATTTGTTTTAGTTTTTAATTGTGACGAAACATTCGACTTTCAAGCCATGGGTCGTATATTTGTTGGTCTGTGTCAGGTCGGCGCKTGGGGTTGTTTTGATGAATTCAATCGACTAGAAGAGAGAATGTTGAGCGCCGTCTCTCAACAGATTCAGATGATTCAGGAGACGCTGAAGAATATCCAAAATAAAAGTGAATTGACTGTTGAGCTCATTGGAAAACAGGTCCGAATYAATGCAGATATGGCTATATTTATAACTATGAATCCCGGATATGCCGGTCGTTCAAACCTACCCGACAATCTTAAGAAATTGTTCCGATCATTGGCTATGAATAAACCCGATAGACAACTGATTGCCGAAGTTATGCTGTTTTCACAAGGATTCAGAACAGCCGAAAAATTGGCCACAAAAATAGTGCCATTCTTTAAATTATGTGACGAACAGCTATCAAATCAATCGCATTATGATTTTGGTTTGCGAGCCCTCAAGAGTGTACTCGTCAGTGCCGGTAATATCAAAAGAGATAGAATTCAGAAAATCAAAGAAGATATGAAAGAAAGAGGTGAAGGGGATCAAATAAATGAAGGATTAATTGCTGAACAATTACCAGAACAAGAAATACTAATACAAAGTGTTTGCGAAACAATGGTTCCCAAACTGGTTGCTGAAGATATTCCATTACTATTTTCACTTTTATCCGATGTATTCCCTGGAATCAAATATACCAGAGCGGAGATGAAGGGTCTGAAAGAAGAGATTGTAAAAGTTTGTAAAGAAATGTATTATGTTTGTGATTATGAATCCGAAACAACTAATGATGAAAACAATGCCAGTTCTTGGATGTCAAAAGTGCTTCAATTATATCAGATCTCTCAACTAAATCACGGTCTTATGATGGTTGGCCCGAGCGGTAGCGGCAAATCGTCCGCTTGGAAAGTATTACTCCGAGCACTTGAACGATACGAAGGCACTGAAGGAATCGCTCACGTCATTGATCCGAAAGCTATTTCCAAAGAAGCACTCTATGGAACATTAGATCCAAATACTCGTGAATGGACTGATGGTCTTTTTACTCACATTTTACGTAAAATTATTGATAACGTGAGGGGAGAGATCAATAAACGGCAATGGATTATATTTGATGGAGATGTCGATCCCGAATGGGTTGAAAACCTAAACAGTGTTTTGGATGACAATAAACTACTGACACTTCCCAATGGCGAACGTCTTAGTATTCCACCCAATGTGCGCATTATGTTTGAAGTACAAGACTTAAAGTTTGCCACATTGGCCACTGTTTCCCGATGTGGTATGATTTGGTTCAGCGAAGACGTCCTTTCAACGGAAATGATTTTCGAGAACTTCTTCTTAAGACTCAGAAATATAGCTTTGGAAGACAATGACGACGATTTTGGCAATTATGGTGTTAAGAAGCGAAGCGATATCGACGGACAAATGGAAACAATAAATCCGAGTCTTCAAACACAACAAGACTTTGCTAATATAATGCAACCATATTTTACAATTGATGGAGTAGTGGTCAGAGCGCTAGAGTTCGGCTCAAAACAAGAACACATTATGGATTTCACTCGTTTAAGAGCTTTGGGCAGTTTGTTCTCAATGTTGAACCAGTCGTGTCGAAACATATTAAACTATAACCACAATCATCCCGACTTCCCGATGCCTTTCGACACAATGGAACGCTATATTCCCAAATCGTTAGTTTACGCTCTGTTGTGGTCATTCGCCGGCGACGCCAAACTTAAAGTCCGAAGTGATTTGGGAGACTTTATCAGAAGCATTACAACGATTCCATTACCACCAGTCAACTCTACTATTCCGCTAATCGATTATGAAGTGACATTCAATGGTGAATGGTCTCTATGGCAGAACAAAGTGCCTCAAATTGAAGTGGAAACACATAAAGTGGCCGCACCTGATGTTGTCGTACCAACAGTTGATACGGTAAGACACGAATCATTATTGAATACATGGCTCGCCGAACATAAACCATTAGTACTATGCGGACCACCCGGTTCTGGAAAGACAATGACATTATTCAGTTCTTTGCGTTCATTGCCTGACATGGAAGTGGTTGGTCTTAACTTTTCGAGCGCTACCACTCCTGAATTGTTATTAAAAACATTTGATCACTACTGTGAATACCGTAAGACACCAAACGGTTTGGTTCTGTCGCCGATTCAAATCGGAAAGTGGCTCATATTGTTTTGCGATGAAATAAATTTGCCACAAGTCGACAAATACGGAACCATTCGAGTGATTTCTTTTTTGAGACAACTTGTCGAATGCGGTGGTTTTTATAGAACATCTGACCAGACATGGGTTCGTTTAGAAAGAATTCAATTTGTTGGCGCATGTAATCCTCCAACAGATCCCGGACGCAAACCATTATCTCATCGATTCTTGCGTCACGTGCCTGTCATATATGTCGATTATCCGGGAGAGACATCACTGAAACAAATTTACGGCACATTTAACAGAGCAATGCTTAGAATAGTTCCCGCACTCAGAACTTACGCCGAACCTCTGACCGCAGCGATGGTTGAATTTTATCTGATATCTCAAGAAAGGTTTACACAAGACATGCAACCACATTATGTTTATTCTCCGCGAGAACTTACCCGTTGGGTTCGCGGTATTGTTGAGGCCATTCGTCCACTCGAAACGTTGACAGTTGAAGGATTGGTACGATTGTGGGCTCACGAAGCACTTCGACTATTTCAAGATCGATTGGTCGAAGAATCGGAACGCATTTGGACCGATGAAAATGTTGATATTGTTGCACTTAAACACTTCCCTAATATTGATAGACAATCGGCACTTCAGCGACCTATTCTCTACAGCAATTGGTTATCCAAAGATTATATTCCTGTCGATCGCGAAGAGTTGCGTGAATTCACTAAAGCCAGACTCAAAGTCTTTTACGAAGAAGAACTTGATGTCCCACTCGTACTATTTAATGAAGTTTTGGATCACGTATTGAGAATTGACCGAATCTTTCGTCAACCTCAGGGACACGTCCTGTTGATTGGTGTAAGCGGTGCCGGAAAGACAACACTATCGCGATTTGTCGCGTGGATGAATGGATTGAGTATATTTCAAATCAAAGTACACAACAAGTATTCGGCCGCAGATTTTGATGAAGACTTACGTCAAGTATTGAGACGTTCCGGTTGTAAGGATGAAAAGATTTGCTTCATTTTAGATGAATCTAATGTTATGGACTCCGGTTTTCTCGAACGTATGAACACATTGTTAGCCAACGGCGAAGTTCCCGGACTTTTCGAAGGCGACGAATTCACAACACTAATGACACAAATTAAAGATTCGTCACAAAGAGAGGGTCTTATGCTTGACTCGAATGAAGAACTATATAAATGGTTTACCCATCAAGTAATCAAAAATCTTCACGTTGTCTTCACAATGAATCCGTCATCCGAAGGTCTTAAGGACCGAGCGGCCACTTCTCCTGCTCTTTTCAATCGATGTGTTCTCAATTGGTTCGGCGACTGGTCTAATGAGGCACTGTTTCAAGTGGGACGAGAGTTTACATTCAAACTGGATATTGATAACACTAAGTGGACGGCACCCAATTATTTTCCGTCAGCCTTTCCCGAGTTTACCAAAACACCCGCTCATAGAGACGCCGTTATTAATGCATTCGTTTATATCCATCAAACCCTTCATCACGCAAACGAAAGGCTTGTGAAAAGAGGCGGAAGAGTGACAACGATAACTCCTCGACATTATCTCGATTTTATCAATCATTACGTAAAACTGTATTACGAAAAGTGTTCAGAACTTGAAGAAGAACAGCTCCATCTGAACGTAGGTCTCTCTAAGATACGGGAAACTGTGGAACAGGTCGAAGAATTGCAGAAATCGTTGGCCCTAAAAAGCAATGAATTAGAGGCCAAAAATCAAGCGGCGAATGCAAAGCTTAAAGAGATGCTTAAAGACCAACAACAGGCAGAACGAGAAAAAACCAAATCACAGGAACTACAAGAAAAGCTTAAAGTATAGACTATTTTTTAATATTTTTATTATTGATATTAACTATTAAATTTGGGTTAAATTAGGAACAAGAGGAAGATATTGCATTGAAAACTGATGAAGTAATGGCTGACCTAAACAAAGTCAAACCCGCYGTTGAAGAAGCACAACAAGGTTTGGGATATACTGTTTGATTGGCTATAACTTTATAGCTTATAAGCACTTCATTAAACTATTATAATAATTCACACGCAAACTAACCATACATTTCACGCATAACTTATAACTTAGCACTTAATTAGCACAAACTTTAGCCAAATTAATAAAAACTTTGCTAAGCTTTTTATAACGCTTCCTCTTTGACTTTWARAGATATTTTTAATTTGATTTAATATGTTTTGTTTATTATTATTTACTTATAATTTTGTTTATTTATTTATTTTTGTTTGTTTTTTTGTTGGTAATCATCTCCACACATATAGCGGTGCAATCAATTAAGAAACAGAATTTAGTAGAGGTTAGGTCAATGACAAACCCTCCTCCAGCTGTTAAGTTAGCACTCGAGAGTATTTGTCTTTTGTTGGGAGAGTTTACCACCGATTGGAAACAGATCCGACAGGTCTTAATGCGCGATAACTTCATCACAACGATCGTTAATTTTCATACCGATAACGTTACGTAAGAAACCAATTATAATATTTATTTATATTTTTATGAATGAATTTAGCGGTCAAAGCAATAAAAAGGCAGCACTTAGTGGAGGTGCGATCAATGAGTAACCCTCCACTACCCGTCAAGATATGTCTCGAATCTATTTGTCTATTACTGGGCGAACCCTATCAGGACTGGAAACTCATCAGAAGTGTAATCATTAGAGAAAACTTTATAACAAATATTATCAGCTTTTCTGCTGATTATATTTCGTAAGACTTATAGTGTCTTCAATTGGTTTTCATTTTTGATGAATGTCTTTGTTTTTATTGTTTTGACAATTTCTGAATATAAATTTTTATAGTTTTTTTGCCTTATTTTTATACATTACTTATTTTGTTGTTGTCTTATATTTTATGAAGTGATGATATTCGCCAAAAGATGATTACAAAATATTTGAATAATCCGGACTATAATTTTGAGAAAGTAAATCGGGCCAGTCTTGCGTGCGGTCCGCTGGTCAAGTGGGCCATTGCTCAAGTTAACTATGCAGATATGCTCAACAAAATTGAACCGTTGAGGAATGAGTTGGGCAGTCTGGAGGCTAAAGCACAAGTCAATAAAGACGAAGCCATCAAAACGGACCAACAGGTGACTCAGTTGGAGAAGAGAATCGCCGCATTGAAAGATGATTACGCAAATCTGGTCAGTCAGGCGACGACTATTAAAGCAGATTTGGCTGCCGTTCAGTCAAAAGTTGACAGAAGTATTGCACTACTCAAGAGTTTAAGCAATGAAAGAGAAAGATGGGAACAGTCGAGCGAAACATTCAAAAGTCAAATGCAAACAATTGCCGGCGATATTCTTCTATCATCGGCATTCCTGGCTTATGCCGGTTATTTTGATCAACAATACCGACAAAATCTATTTAACAGCTGGTGCTCTCACCTACAGGAGGCTAACATTTTATTTAGAGCTGATTTAGCTCGAACTGAATACTTGTCAACTGCTGATGAACGACTCAGATGGCAGGCAAACCATTTGCCAAGCGATGAGTTGTGCACTGAAAATGCAATTATGTTGAAACGATTCAATCGGTATCCACTTATTATTGATCCCTCAGGACAGGCAACAAAATTCTTGTTGAGTGAATACGAAAGCAAACGGATCACTAAAACGAGTTTCTTAGACGACTCGTTCCGTAAAAATCTGGAAAGTGCTCTCCGTTTCGGAAATCCTCTACTCGTTCAAGACGTGGAAAGTTATGATCCGATATTGAATCCAGTATTAAACAGAGAAGTTCGCAAAACTGGTGGCCGAGTTCTCATAACTTTAGGCGATCAGGACATCGATCTTTCGCCGTCGTTCTGTATTTTCCTGTCCACCAGAGATCCGACCGTTGAATTCCCTCCAGATATCTGTTCTCGTGTGACTTTTGTCAACTTTACAGTCACCCGAAGTAGTCTTCAATGTCAGTGTTTGAATCAAGTATTGAAAGTAGAGAGACCTGATATCGATGAGAAGCGTTCAGATTTGCTTAAACTTCAGGGAGAGTTTCACGTAAAGCTTAGACAACTTGAAAAATCATTACTTCAGGCACTAAATGACGTGAAAGGACGCATATTAGATGACGACTCTATTATCAGTACATTAGAAAAGCTTAAGAACGAAGCGGCAGAYATATCAAAAAAAGTTGAAGAGACCGATAAAGTAATGGCAGAAGTGGACAATGTTTCCAACAATACGCACCACTATCTCAAGCCTGTAGTTCTATTTACTTTACTCTCGAAGGTCTCAATCAGGTCCACTTTCTCTATCAGTATTCATTGCACTTCTTTTTGGACATCTATAATGACGTCCTAACCAACAATCCGTTGCTGAATAATATAACGGATCCAATGTCTCGACTATCAACTATAACTCACACACTTTTTGAGGTAATTTTATACGTTATTATTATTATCTATAATTTTATTAATTATTTTGAATTGACTAAAACTAAAACTAATTGTACGAACAGGTTGTATACAAACGAGTAACCCGTGGAATGCTTCACGAAGATTGGCTCGTCTTTTCCCTACTCTTATGCAAAATCTATTTGAGAATCTTTTCGAAGTATGAATTCAATTAAAAAAGTGTCATTAAAATCATAAAAATAAAATTTTCTATTTTTAGTGAATCCAACTTTGAAGAGGAGTTCAATCATTTGATGAGAGGTCGCGAAGGCATACTTCCCGGCCAACCAACCGTTCACGTGGAGGGACTCATATCGGATCAATTGGAAGGAGCGACAGCGCTATCAAAATTAGTTGCATTTAAATCACTTCAAAACAAATTGGACTCAGAAAACAACTTTAATGAATGGGTTCAAAGCAATTCTCCCGAAGCAAATGTTCCACAGCTCTGGGATGARTCCAAATCGCTCACACCTATCGGTACATCAATGCATCAATTATTAGTGATTCAAGCGTTCAGACCGGATAGAGTTTTATCAATGGCTAATCAAGTGGTCAATACAATACTTGGCAACGATTTTCTGCATTCAGCCGAAGCCGAACTTAATTTGGGCTCAATTATCGAAAAAGAAGTAAAGGCGTCGACACCGATATTGATGTGTTCTGCTCCCGGATATGATGCCAGCGGTCGTGTCGACGATCTCGCAGCTGAACTAAACAAAACAATTACATCGATTGCTATCGGATCCGCTGAAGGATTCAGTCAAGCGGACAAAGTTATAAACTCTGCCTCAAAGAGTGGTAAATGGGTTCTTCTAAAGAACGTTCATTTGGCGCCTCAATGGCTAATTCAGTTGGAAAAGAAATTACATACATTACAATCACATCCATCGTTCCGGCTGTTCTTGACTCTTGAAATCCATCCTAAAGTTCCGGTGAATCTGTTACGCGCCGGAAGAATTTTCGTGTTTGAACCGCCGCCCGGAATCAAAGCTAATCTGTTGCGAACATTCAACACTATTCCCGCTTCAAGAATGATGAGAGCGCCCAATGAAAGATCCCGTTTATATTTCCTGTTGTCGTGGTTTCACGCCATTGTTCAGGAAAGACTCAGATACTGTCCACTCGGTTGGTCTAAAAGCTATGAATTTAACGAATCAGATCTTCGTGTTGCTTGTGATACACTCGACACTTGGATCGATACAGTGGCGATGGGAAGGACTAATTTGCCACCAGAGAAGGTCCCGTGGGATGCCATCGGTATACTGTTTGGTCAATGCATTTATGGCGGAAAAATTGATAACGATTTCGATCAGAGATTATTGACATCTTTTGTTAACAAATTATTTACTTCTAAGAGCTTTGATTCAGAATTCTCATTAGTTTCCGGTATAGAAGCGCCAGAAGGCGGCAAAACTTGTATATCAATACCAGAAGGAATATTACGCAGAGACCAGTTCTTGAATTGGGTCGAAACACTTCCAGACCGTCAAATGCCTTCGTGGTTAGGATTGCCGAATAACGCAGAGAAAGTGCTTTTAACTAATTCAGGAACAGATCTGATCGCAAAACTTTTGAAACTTCAACTTCTCGAAGATGACGACGATTTAGTGATGCAAACAGCAGAACGAGTCAAAGCTAAACGCGATTCATCTGATGGAAGACCCGCTTGGATCAGAACTTTACTCAACAGTGCCATCACTTGGCTTAGAGTTCTTCCTAATAATTTGCAGACAATGAAGAGAACTTCAGATAATATTAAAGAACCACTGTATCGATACTTTGAACGAGAAGTCAATATTGCATCGAAACTTCTTCAAGTAGTGAGACATGACTTGGAAGACGTCCAACTCATTTGTAAGGGAGAAAAGAAACAAACAAATTATTACAGAGAGATCATCGCATACCTGGCAAAGGGTATGATTCCCAATCATTGGCGTAAATATACAGTTCCCTTGACATGTACTGTCATTCAATGGGTCACCGATTTTACCGACAGAATCAAACAATTACAGAAAGTTTCGTCGACTCAATCAACAAACCTAAAGGTATTTTTTTTGTTATTTATATCATTAGTAGTTATAAAGACAACAATTACCTGTAATTTTTGATGAATTATTCAAGAATCTAAACATATGGTTGGGCGGACTTTTTAATCCCGAGGCATACATAACGGCCACCCGTCAGTACGTCGCTCAGGCAAACGGCTGGTCTCTCGAAGAACTTTCGCTCGAAGTGTTGATATCAGACTCGGATCGGCATAAAGACCCGGAAGATGGAACTTTTGGAGTGACAGGTAATTTGAAATGTCATATAAATTATTAATTTTCTATAAAAATAATAATTGTGTTGTGTTTTGTACTATAGGTCTCAAATTACAGGGCGCGCACACCAAACAAAACAAACTGTATCTCACAAATACCATATTCACAGATTTACAGCTAACCTCTCTTCGATGGATTCGGTAATATAATAAGAAATGAGATTAAATTTAAATATAATATTGCAATAATTTTTTTGTTGTAATTTTCTTGCTTACAGTGGAAGTGCTGACACAAAACAGTCAACCAAAAATGGTAAATTATAAATTATTATATGTAATGATATTGTATAAATTTAAAATGTTATTTTCAAAAATATTAATTATGTTTTTTGCAATTTAGGTGACACTTCCCGTATATCTCAACTCTACCCGATCGGAGCTATTATTTTCGGTAGACTTGGAGTTAGGCGAAGACCAAAACGCTTACAGTTTTTACGAAAGAGGTGTAGCCTTCTTGTGCTTGAGTGCTATGGGTTAACCATTTTTATTTTATTTGGGATTTGAATTACGAAAAATCAATAGACATTTTTCTTTTAATTTTTATTATATATCTTATTATTAATGTTATATTCAATTAAACATAATTTTATTAAATGGTTTTAATAATCCATATTTTGGTATAAAATCTAAACAATTATTTGTCAATAAATTTGAATAATTTAAATGTTTTTGAATTTCATTTCTAAACTTTTTTAAAGCGTTTCTCTCTTGAATTCTGTGCGCTATTTTGCCAAAAGTCCACTGACTTATCATAGCATTTGTGGCAATCAATTCAATCTCTTTATAAGTCATATGAAAATCAATTAATTTCAAGTCATTCCACTTCTTTGCCAATAAATAGATTCGTTTGGATATGTTTTGTGTGAATTTAATGATAACTTTCATGTTTTGCTGAGATCTCCATTTCGGTGAAACTCTTATATAAGCTGACAATCGTATGGATTGCAAGAGAACTCTTTCGTAAATATTTTTAGCGACAACTCTCTGGTCATTGACATTACTGTTCAATACACTGATTGATAGGTTCATCGATAGTTGTCCTAATGGCAGATAATTTTTTTTTTTAAATACTAGTAAATTATTTTTTATAATTATAATAAATTTAATTATTTAATGAAAACCTACTTAAAAGTGTTGAATTGATGCTCTTTAGCGATGAGTTTGGATTACAATTGAATGAATTGAGAATATTCTGTTCGCTGTATATACTAAAGTCCGATGAGACACACAATGTGTTAATATCAATGATATGACCGAAAAATGACAATTCATTACTTAAACTGATGTCATGTCCATCAAAGTGGAAATTCGTCTTCAGTTTAGACAAATTTACTTTCAGATTATATTCATTAAATCCGTTTAACATAATCTGTACGATAGCTTTGGCTCTCATTAGAAACGGTGTTATAAACAGAAAGTCGTCGGCTTGTATGAGACGGATCTCCGACGAGTGGACACCAAAATCATTGAAATAATGTTTAACTAACGACTCGACATATATTGAACACAATTCGCTGGACAACATACCTCCCTGTCTTATACCATATTTCATGTGATAAAAGATTTTTTTATTAGTTTTGATAATAGCTTTGAATATATAGGTTCGCAAATAATCTTTCAATTGATTACATTTATATGATTTTACATATGATTTGCCAACAATTATACAATTTTTGAGTTTAATATTATTATCGACAGCGACTTGTTTTAGTGATTTCGTATCATTTGATTCAATATATCGAATGTGTTTAACAAATAACTTGTTTTTGGCTCTCATTATGACATCAAACTCTTTGACAACAATTTCATTGTTAACAGTAATCGTATGAAACAATTTATCGATGATATCAAACATTTTATTTTGACTAATAGATGGATAGCAGCTCTTGATGTCTGCTCTAATAAAATATAATTTATTAAAATCTCCCGAATTCTTCATATTCTTAAGTTTTACAATACTTTCTTGAAGATAGTGTTGACCATTGATTGTGTAATTTTTCAATTGATTTAGGCGTAACTTCTTGAGAACTGTTAGATTCAAGTAAAGCAAACTTTTCAAATGTTTTGTGTCTGAAGTGTTGCTGGTTTTAAGTCTATTGATTTGTCGAAATTCACTGAATTTGGGTACAAAACGATTTGAAGATAAAATCAATACTTTTGACGAGTCTTTAGGTATAAAATTAGTTAATTGTTTATCACTTATTTGGACAAAAGATCCGCTTTTAATCAGTTCTGCAATAGCTTTGGTCTTCATTTTCTGCCATAAATCAAATCGATAAAAGAATAGCTGAGTCCTATAGTTGGCTGTTTCGGTGATATAAAATTTTGTCCTCAAAATAGTTATCAAATATTCAATTATCCATCGAATCAATTCATCAATTATTTGATTTGAATTTGAAATATCGATTAACTCTTCAAACCATTTAATATCAGTTAATTTGATACCTCTTTTAAAATCAGATGTAAAAAGCATTGTATTTAAACCCGTTATTACTAATAGTTTGCAATTTTCGTAAAAAATCCGAAAATTGTTTTTATTGCCAAACAATTCAATGGGAATCACATAATAAAGAACTGAATAAATCAATTGAATGATCTGTTTGTGAGTCGTATAGGAATCCAATGCATATCTCAACTCATATCCATAATTTCGGATCAAATATGAATCCTGAGGACAATATTTGTCGAGAAGTTTATCAAATCGACATTTTTTATGTCTCACTATAATTGAGTTCAATATTGAAAACAATTGTCTCTTCGCATCTGTGGTGATGAAGTGTTGACAAGAGTTGAATATATGTCCAAACAATTGATACGATTGAAGACACGGTTTGCTTAATATAAAGTTTGCCACAAATTGTCCCGAAGTTTGTCGCGAATAAAGCATTAGTTTCCGATCTATTCGGCACTTCTTAGCCAATATTGACTTACCCTTCGATGAATTAGTCGCCGATTTGTCACTTGTTGTCGATTGACTGTTAATATTGACCTCATTTATGACATCAATTATTACACAATCGCTGTCCTCTTCGCTGTCTTCTCTATCCTTATGAGCGAAACTCTTGAAAAACTTATCCATTGTTTTCAATGACTTTTTGTGATTAAAATTCAAAAGTTTTTCTGTTTTATCGACAGTTGTTTTAAAATCACATTTAATAAGATTCTTGTGATTCCAGACTTTGTTAACAATACTTAATCCAAACACTTGTTGCCAACAATTGTCAGAAATGTCTTCAAATATCAGACATTTATTCAACAGATACTCAAAGAGTGTCTCTTTTAGTATTGAATACAATTGTGATAAATGATTGGCGTTTTGCTGCAAATAATTGAAAGCCTCACTTCTGGCTATCACCTGATTTGGTCCATAATTATTGTAATAGTGATTCAAAGTGGTGTCAGCAATGGTCTCAAATGACTTTTGACATTTCGGTGATAATAGTTGTCGATAATTAAGACTTTCATTGCTAACAATCCATGTTTTTTGACAAAAGCTTATCAAGTCTTCGTTGAGATGACCATCACTTTGGATGCAATCAAAGGCAATGTTATCGAGTCGTATAACACTTGAGTACATAATCTTCAGTACGTTTTCCATTGAATTCATAATTTGATCACAAAATTAATGACAAAAAAGTGATAAAAATATGTTTAATATATTTAATAATTAGTAATAATTATTGCTAACAATCACGTGTTGCTAATCACATGTTAATAGCCAACGGAAACATTATTTTTAATGACAAAACTGTGATTACAAGTGTTGTGATATAACTTATAGTTTAGTTTGTATTTAATAATAAAATATAATCAATAATATAGTGTCGATATATTGTATTTATTTGAATCATATACAGTAATAATATTAAATATATTTTTATTTTAATTACAATGATTTTATATATTTATCGAATAATAATAATAATATAATCTATSAATATTACATTCAATACATGTAATATACATGTAAATAACTTTGAAACTAATGTCGAAAACATTAAAATATGGTTTATATTTAATCGATTAGATAATGTTTATCTCTATAATGATTATTAAGTTTATAATGAATATTATAACAGTTGAATACATTATTTTTTATAACTTTATTAACAATTAGGCGATACAATAGAATAAGTGTTTTATTTATTTGTGTTTAAAATATGTTATAATCTATAGTTAAGTTACCGTACATTATATGAGAATCAGACCGTTTAAGACAAACATTATTAACAAATCAGACATAAATTGGCGAACAATTAGAGCCGACATTCAAATCGTTTTTCACACTTATTGCTGTCCTTTCTATTAAAAAAACAAATTATTAAAATTTATTTATATTGTTATCAAATTTAAAACTTAGTGATTAACTATACCAGAGATCTCTTTCAAATCAACACAATTGGTATTTGCATTGGGATTGGCCCGACGTCTTAACCAGAAATACCAAATGAAAGCATAGAAAGGTATGGCTAATACAGAGGAAAGTGTGAAACCCCAGCCCAACACCGCAGACCATAACGGGTAGTCATAGTTATAAAACGAGAGACGTTCAGAATTGATTACATCCAACACTATAACACACTTTTAGATAAAGAAAAACATATTTTGATGATTTCATAATATCATCAAATAATGGTAATAGTCTTACAACAAGAAAACAGGGAGATATGACTTTCCACGATAATACCCAACACCAATGAGGTCGGTGTCCAATCATTGACTTAATGTCATCTCTAAATTTTTCCGATCCTTCAATTGATAGAAATATTGTAACTTTTTTAAAATAATTGATTACTATTTTAATTAATTTTTACCATAAAAATATGTGACAGCAATGGCTTCAAACATAGCCGAACATAACAGCGATATTCCGGCCGAATATCTGTCGAACCAAACCATTGTATATCCGCCACCCTTTCAAATGGTTAAGAGATTTAATTTTTATTATAAAAATAATTATTTTTAWTAATTTTTTATTTATATTTTTTACTTGAGTGCAGTTAACGAGTGCACCAAAAAATGAGGTGCAGATGACAATTGCTGTGAAATGTTCGCGTTTAAGACATTTGATCTTAAACTCATCCATTAATCCTGTGATAACTGCTTCGAGTCCTCCCATCTAATGATTTAATAAAAGTTTATATATATATTTAACAATTTTTTAATCCACAAAATATTAAATTGTAAATATTCAAATAAAATAATATAATTATAAATATACCGCAGAGTCGAGTCCTAATGTCAAAAGCATAATAAAAAACAAAAGCGACCAAAACTTTGCAAACGGAAGGGTAGATATGGCTTCGGGATAGACCTATAAATATGTGACAAAATTAAATTATAATTTTTTTTAATTAAGATATTATTAATACCTGAAAAACCAGACCATATCCCTCTGAGGCTACATTTTGTATCTCTTTATTCATACTGTTAGCCATATAACCCAAATACGTGAAGATAACAAATCCCGAGTAAAATGATGTCAAAGAGTTGACGCTCGCAGTTATCAAACAATCGCTACAAAAAACCGTCAATTTATTAATTCAATATTCATTTAATTAATTAATTATTAAATAAAAATAATTCAAATAATTGAATACCGATAGCAATTGTTATGAAACTTATTGAATGAGGCATATGTGAGATGTACACCAAATCCGACACCAATTGAGTAAAAGACCTGAACGGCTGCGTCCACCCATACCGACGCCTCATATAATTTTTCCAGTCTTGGGTTTATGTAATATAATATTCCCTCAACTTTAAAAAAATAAAWTATTTAATTTATATAAATTATAATAACATTAAAAAAATAAATATTAAATAATAATTACCGGCTCCGGGAAGAAATAGGCCTCTTATTAAAAGAATAGTCAATATAAAGTATGGAGCGGTTGCTGTAAACCAAACCACCTTTTTTGATGATTAAATAAAATATACAATAATTTACAATTTTTTGATGATATAAAATTTAAATTATACAAAATATTGACAAAACATTTGATACCTTTCCCGATGACTTAACACCTTTGAATAATGAGAAGTATAGGATACAGAAGACCAAAACCAAACAGCCTATGAGTTCGGGTCTAAGAGTTCCCATTCCTGTTAATCCATCGGATTTGTCAATTTCCAAAAGTCCTCTCCTTTTAATATGTTTTCAAATAAATATCATTAAAATATTATCTAAATGTTGATTATTTAATAATTTAACTAATKATTAAATTAAATATTTTATTTTTACTTATTATTATTTAATATAATGTATTATTCTATATACAAATTTATGATTCATAGATACCATCATATAAGGTAATGAAATTTATGTTATGGATATAAAGTAAATAATAAAAATATAAAATATAATCAATAAATTGCTGCTAAATAATTAATTAAAGTCTATAATTAAGCAATTAATCACTAGTAATGAAAACAATGAATATAATGACAGTATGTTTGATGTCTTACCAGAAAAACTCTTCAGTGGGTGAACTCCTATTCGTTAAATTAATTTTATGGCAATCAGTATATTCTGTGGYCTCAATGTTGGCCTTATTATATGTAATGTTAGATTTGCATTCAATGGCTTGCATTTGTGATACCGAAAAACAATTAGCAGTATTATAATCATTATCGCAGTGCTGCCATGGCATCAGATCACCTAAACAATTGATTTAATCAAATTTAATTTATTAATAACTAATTTTAATAATAGATTAACAAACAAAAAATCTCAATTTTTGATAAATTATAACAATTAATAGCAAACCTGATGTTAATGTTTTAATAATATAATATGTAGTCCACGCTATGATAACATTATAGTAGAAGGAGACGTACCACGAGATCAATACACAACAATAGCCGATGCCCTTCATTGGTGGACATAACTTATCCCACATTTTAATGGGTCCACATTTGGTGAACTGTCCCACAGATAGCTCGAGAAAAAATAGAGGCAATGCTCCAAATATAAGCATAGTTGTATAGGGAATCAAAAATACACCTAGAACCAATTTTAACATTATCATCAAACATCATTATATTTATATATCATGATTAATATTTTTAACATTACATATTCATGCAAATATTAATGTTGAAATTATGATAAAATTCAATATAATTATTTAACATACCACCACCATTTTTATAGCACAGATATGGAAACCTAGAAATATATTTAAGTTATATATAGTATATATATATTTGTTAACTAATTAATAATTTGAATCATTTTTAATAGTAAATAATTTTTATTTAAAAAAATAGTATTTAGCACTTTATTGTATGTTTGAAATATTTAAATTAATATTCATTTATTAAATAAAATACTAAAAATTTGAAAAAATCTATAACTTATATCATAATTTGCTGCTATATAACAATACTCATAAAATTTATAGGTCTAACTCTATATTCTTAATAAATGCAAAATTCATTGACAATCTTAATGTTTATTAAACTGCATTATTCATTATATAATTAATTTGAAATACCGATACAAACCTCCAAACGTTGGATAAGTCGACAGCAAATCCAATAATAGAGAGAAGAAAATCAATTTTTTTGCTCCATTCGGGTCTTTCTTCATCACCACTTGTTGTTTCAAATTTATTATTGATATCATATTTTTCGACAATTTTTAGCTCATTTGCACTTTTTATATCAGTATTTTTATCTTTGAATTTTAATTTTGAACGAAATTTTGAAAACTTTTGTTTCCATTTGGATATCATTACAGAACTGCTGTTTTCGCTGATAGTATCGTCCAGTTCTTCATTATTATTATCAAAATGCTTTGAATGAAACTTTTGTCCCGTAATTAATAACTTGGGACTCGAATGAAGGGATTCATAGCCTTTAAAAGATAAACATATTTTTTTAAAAAAGGAAATATTAAAAATTAAATATAATAGATATATTATAGTAATAATTATTATCTAAATTTTTAAAAAAATAGATAATTCWATGAAAAAYACACCTAAATCTATAAAATGTTGTGATTTATTTTGAAATGAATGACGAGATAAGAGGTCGACCTGAACGCCGACATCCGAAAAGGATTTGTCGTCAATAATAGTATCAATATTTTCCAGTGATAGTGAAGATGACATTATTATAATTGTTGCAAATTGTGTCACAGTTTTTATTTTCAAAGAAATAAATCAAATTATTTTTTTGAAATTTTTATATTATAACATAATTATTAAAGATAACAAAATACATTAATCTTTTTAATGTATGTATAATAAAGACAATAATTTTTGGCGAAATGTTGTTAAATTTTTTAATTGACAATTCAGTTATTAATAATATAACAAACATTTCACAGTATTTTTTCTTAAGTAATTTACATTATTAACTATATTAACACTTATATTTACAGTATTATTTAACTTTATAGTTAAATTAACAACAAATAAATACAGGTATATATATTTATATATATATATAGTATATGTTATATTATGTAATGAACAGTTAACAAGTATAGCACATATTTAACAAAAACATAGTTAAGTGTTATATGAGTCGTTGTCAGATGAAAAGTGAATGTCATCGACGATGGCTTATAATTTTCACCAAAAAGTCTTAAAAATCATCAAACAATATATGATATGACTAACACACATACACACACTTAACCATCTATTGAAACCCTGAAAAAAGCACTGGAAGTGTTTGTGCGATAAAACTTTATTATTATCATCAAAATGAGTGATGAAAAGCAAATGAGAAATAGAAGTTCCAGTTTTTTTATATATATTTGAGACTAAATTTTGTATAGTTTAAGCACTAATCATATTAATATAATATGTCAGTCCATACAACTAGTTATGTGTTTTGAGAGATGAGAGAGATATTACAAAAATTCTTTACATAACTTTAACATTGCGGACAAAGCTATTGTCAATTTGATTGCAATATAACTGAGAGAATATTAAGAATAATTCACTTCTACTAAGAAATACTAGAAGTCTATCATCAAAACAGGCTAACTGTCCTATAAAGTCAAGTGCTATACATTTTTACACCACTAATCATATTATTCATTTGACTGTATTATTATTTTTTATTATTATATACAAGTATAATATGTGTGCCGTCTATTTGTTAGTTCATTTAATGCTCGAAAAATATATCACTCATATTATTAATACTTCATTTTAATTTCAATTATTTTATAGATAAAAACTTTTCAAAATATTGTTTTTTAAAAAATCAATAAGAAATAAATTGGGTTTTAAAATATGATAATACTCTCCAAATCTAGTAGTAATAGTCATATATTATATAACAAATTTGTTGTCCTATTAATAGATAATTTAAAAAATTTACTCTAAAACAGTAAACAAATTAATCAAATAAATTGAATGCAAACTACAGTATATTATAAAAATCTATCAATCAATTATAGAAATAATATTCACACAAAATTAATGCTCAATTAATAACTTTATTAAACAAAATCACAATTTTGAAAATACAAATCAATATTAATTGTGTAATAAAACAATAAACAAAAGTAATACAAATTTTGAATCTAATATTTATAATTTTAGAGCTAATAATTTGTGCTCAAAAACAATCAGTTTTTTCAATGGATTAGTTTCCTCCACGAAGTCGAAGGACTAAATGGAGAGTCGACTCCTTTTGAATGTTGTAATCCGAAAGAGTGCGGCCGTCCTCCAGCTGTTTACCGGCAAAGATCAGACGTTGTTGATCCGGAGGAATACCCTCTTTGTCCTGGATTTTCGCCTTCACATTCTCAATGGTGTCCGATGGCTCCACCTCTAGAGTGATGGTCTTACCGGTCAATGTCTTGACAAAGATTTGCATACCACCTCTCAGACGAAGGACCAAATGCAATGTCGACTCTTTTTGAATGTTATAATCAGATAAAGTGCGGCCGTCTTCGAGTTGTTTGCCGGCAAAAATGAGTCGCTGTTGGTCCGGAGGGATACCTTCTTTGTCTTGAATCTTTGCCTTCACGTTCTCGATTGTGTCCGAGGGCTCGACTTCTAAAGTGATTGTTTTGCCGGTCAATGTCTTAACAAAGATCTGCATTCCGCCTCTCAAACGAAGGACTAAGTGAAGGGTTGACTCTTTTTGAATGTTATAGTCTGAAAGGGTGCGGCCGTCTTCCAGTTGTTTGCCTGCAAAGATCAAACGTTGTTGATCCGGAGGAATGCCTTCTTTATCTTGAATTTTTGCCTTTACATTCTCGATTGTGTCCGAGGGCTCGACTTCGAGTGTAATGGTCTTTCCGGTCAATGTTTTTACGAATATTTGCATTCCTCCTCTCAATCGGAGTACCAAATGAAGTGTAGATTCTTTTTGAATGTTATAATCGGAAAGAGTTCGGCCGTCTTCTAGTTGTTTGCCGGCAAAAATCAATCTCTGCTGATCCGGAGGAATACCTTCCTTATCCTGGATCTTTGCCTTTACGTTTTCAATGGTATCGGAGGGCTCGACCTCTAATGTGATTGTTTTGCCCGTTAATGTCTTGACAAAGATCTGCATTCCTCCTCTGAGTCTGAGAACCAAATGAAGTGTCGACTCCTTTTGAATATTATAGTCGGAGAGAGTGCGGCCGTCTTCGAGTTGTTTGCCCGCAAAAATGAGTCGCTGTTGATCCGGAGGAATACCTTCCTTGTCCTGAATCTTTGCCTTTACGTTCTCAATGGTATCGCTGGGCTCGACCTCCAATGTAATGGTCTTTCCGGTCAACGTTTTGACAAAGATTTGCATTCCTCCTCTCAAACGAAGAACCAAATGAAGTGTCGACTCTTTTTGGATATTATAGTCAGAGAGAGTGCGGCCATCTTCGAGTTGTTTGCCCGCAAAGATCAATCTTTGTTGATCCGGAGGAATGCCTTCCTTGTCCTGAATCTTTGCCTTCACATTCTCGATGGTATCGCTCGGTTCGACCTCAAGAGTGATGGTCTTTCCGGTCAATGTTTTGACGAATATTTGCATTTTGTCTGAAAATTAATTATCAATTCAATCGATTAAATAAATATCAAAAAATAACGAATAAATTAATTAATTTAATCAATGATTTAAAACAAAAACCGTTGAAAAACTTAATGCGTATTAAATTGAAATAGACTTACAATTAGTGTTCAAAATATAACGCAATTAAAGATTAAATATATTTTTAATTTAATTCAATTCAATGAATGAGACGTCTATTAGACTCAAACACTAGTAATAGTATAGTTCCTAACAAAGCATTCACTCAGCTTTATATAGACCAACGCCTGTACTCTCAAACTTGGCTCTGATTGGCTAACAATTGAATGCGACGTTTGTTAACTAATCTCTGATTGGTTCAACTGTTTCCAGGCTTTGGTCGAAATATCGAGAATACGGATGAATTGAATTGCATTACAAATGTATTATAAAAATAGTTTCCAACAAAAAAATAAATAAAACGAGTCATACGTTTAGTTCACGTATGTATTTGAATGACTTTGCAGTCAATGATTGCAGTGTTGGCACTAAAAGTATACTAAAGTACTCTATAGTACTGTATATATAAATGTAATACCAATGCAATCAAACTACAAGTTTAGTACTAATACTAATAGCACTGCACTATACTATAGGCAATACATTTAAACATTGAGTCAATTGACTGAAAAAATATTTTCCATTTATTTATTACGAAATTGTTTTATATTTTTGTTTTGTTTTTTTAGTCATATGTCTAGTCATACACTCTTTATGGCACTAATTGACCTCAGATTACAATATTTATAATTGACTGTAATATTGATAATATATAAATAAATGTTAATAATTTAAATATATATACAATATATTATCAATAATAATAAACAATTACCAAAAAGGCATTTATAGGTTATTATATTAAAGTATATTATATTTAATTTAACATTTACTACATATTATACTACATTTCATGTTATTATATTAAAGTATATTATATTATATTTAATTTAACATTTACTACATATTATACTACATTTCATGTCATATCATATATTTTGCTGAATAACAAGTTATTTACTTAATATTTAGTTATCATAAGTAAAATTATTTTTAAACTTTTATTATTAAATAAATTATTTTTATTTCATATCAAAAGATTGTAAACAAATAACAATTTTAGAGTTAATGTCTAACAGATTATATCTCTTCAGCTAATCTTCGAGTTATTGCAAACTTTTTGAAGATTGCGTCATATTTGACAATCCGTTAAAACATTAGATTGAATGAGTCGTTAGGATCTAATAGTTTAAGAAAAAAATGATAGTTTAATATAATTTTAAAGTGTAAGCAATTGGTGGCATCACATGACTTACACCTACAGGTTCAACGACTCGGTGCTTAACCTCATCCGCCAGCCATTGGAGGCGATCCCGGCCCACATCCGCCCGAACTAAATGACCTAAAGTTGCTCTTTGGAGGTCTTCTACCACCACCGCCGCCACCACCACCTCCTCCTCCTCCTCTGTTGTGATTGGATTGGGAATCACCAAAACGGGATCCAAAGGGCAGCAGTGATTGTAGACTAATAATACATTTGATAGAAAAACCATTAGATATTATTTATAATTGGATTTTATTTTTGAAATTAATTACAAGAATACTATAAAATTGATGACTGCTATCAATAGCTGTAAAGGTGTGGACCAACTGAGTGATCGGTTGGACACAATCTCACCTCCTATTCGGGTTGAAATACATAAGAAATAATGTTATTAATATATTAAGACATTTGAATATTTATTTTATAAACGAATACTCACTTGAATTAATATAAACCATTGTGACTGAAGAAGTGATCGCAATAATTGTTTTACATTTCAATTGTTTATCGAATTAAATAATTTATTTAATTTTTAAATTTTTTTTATTTTATTTACTATTTTTGGCAAATCATATGTTTATTACTGTAGTGATAGTTGTCAACAATTTGTAACTTTTCTATATATATGTAATATAGTATTAAGTGTACGTAAGTTTAGTTATGAAAAGGCACTGATTTATCGTAACAGTTATGACACGTAATGTTTCAATGTTTACATTTTAAAGGGATTTTGAAAAAGTTGTTGAAAAGTAAAAATCATTTGAATTTTTATTCAATTATAGTATTGATAATTGAATTAAGTTATGATTAAGTCATGTATCCATAGATTGAGACCAAATGCCAAACATTTGTGTTCAAGAAATTTGTCAAACAGTCCTTCAATTACCATATTTGACACAAACACTAAACGCTTACAAAAAGATAAATCAATTGATATGAAAGACAACCAAAAGTATGACTATTTAAAAGATGAAATCGCTTACCGACTGGTGGACAGAGTTTACGATATTAAGAGACACTTTCCAGTAGTTGTCGACTTTGGCTGTTATAAAGGATTGATATCTAATCACTTAACTAATGTTTGTATTMAAAAATTGAATTTTTAATTTGTTATAATAAAAACTTATTTTTTGTGATTAATCTTATGTTAACAGGAAGTGATTGATTGTCTTATATGCTGTGATACATCTTATAAATGTTTACAACACATCCCGTCTATTGATGGCATTGAAACTATTAAATTAGTTATCGATGGCGAGACACTACCACTTAAAGAAAATAGTATTGATTTAGTGATCAGTAATTTAAGTATACATTGGGTTAATGGTTTGCCCAACGCTTTTGATAATGTAATGAAAAATTGATTTTTAAAAATAATTGTTTTAAAGTATTTTTTTAAACTTGTGTTAAATTAGATAATGAAATGTCTTAAAGAAGACGGCGTTTTCATGGGTGCTATGTTTGGTGGACAGACATTGTTTGAGTTACGGTCGTCGTTACAAATGGCAGAACTTGAACGCGAAGGCGGCTTTGGTCCGCATATATCGCCATTTATTTCGGCTCAAGACATGGGTGCGCTGTTAACTCGAGCCGGTTATTCAATGATTACAATAGACACGGATGAGATTAAAGTGAATTATCCGACGATTTTTGAATTACTAGAAGATTTAAAAGGAATGGCAGAAAATAATGCTTTAATTAAGAGGAAAAGTCATTTGCATAGAGATTCGCTGTTATCGGCGGCCGCTATATATCAGTCATTATATGGTAATACCGACGGTTCTATTGCGGCCACATTTCAAATATATTATTGGATTGCTTGGAAACCCCATCCAACCCAACCTAAACCAATTGAAAGGGGTTCACAACAGTTTTCGCTTAAAGATATACCAAATTTAGATAAAATTTTAAAAGACAATAAAATTGATTAATTTGTTAACTCAATCAATAGTTTATTAGTTTATATATATTTGATATGATTTATTGGTATTTTACATTTTAGACTTCATATTAGTGTCAAAATAAGATTATTTTTTTGGAATGATTTATAATTATTAATTTGGATAAACTTATAATAGGATTAACTTTATATTAGAAATAGATTAGCAATAATTGTTTAATCAGATAATAAAACCAATAATAATATTATAAATTTACTGTTTTATTGGTTTACAATAATATAAATATTTGTTGTAACGTTGTCTGTGAATTGCTCTCAATATATTTGTACTTAAATAGAGAGCCAACCAATAGTATTGAAGTAACAAACAGTTTAAACACTGTTTGGCACTCATTGTTGAATAAAACACAAAACGGTTGGATATTATTATTATATTATGTATTGAATGTATGTTTCAATTGAATTACATTTTTATAAAAAATAATTTAAATATTTATTATTATATCATATAATCATTGATYGATTGATTTGATTATCATTTGTTTGTTTGTTGACAATAACCAACTTTATTGACCTAATTATTATCACAAAATGTCTTCATCTGTAGATCAACTAAAGGAGAATATCATACCAGAAGACCAAATCATTAAAACCAAAGATAAAGATATGAAGACTCGATCGAAAGGCAAGACTGTCRTCAAAACAATAGCATCTCATCAGAAAAAGACGGACACGAAGACTAATAATGATGGAAGTGGTGKTCAGTCGAAGAAAATTAAAACCACAGTCGCGACAAAAGGAGATGAAGCGACCAATGAAGGTCAAGGAAAGAAATTTTATTTTAGTGTCCATAAGATATATTCGGGTGGAGACGAGTTCTCATTTGAAGAACTTATGGGTCAGAGATGGATGAAAAAGAAGAAAAAGATTGACGAAGAGTTTAAGTGTCAACAATTGGAACAAGAGGTGGCTTTTCTAAGACAACAGATCGAGCGCTTAATTCAGCAGAAGACCAACGAAACGGCGGCCAAAAGCGAGGAGAAGCCATCTCACGACTTAATGCCTCCGCCACCGACCAGTGCCGACTCAAGCGGCAAATCATTTCATAACTCGACAGAAAATCCAGGAAACGCCACTTCATTTATGGTCCGCGAGTTATGGAACGGCACTCTTATGACCACTCAATGCGATAATAATTCAAAACCTGTAACAATGAAGGCTCCTGAAGAAAATAAAGAAAAGTTTACCATTTTTGCCGATACAACTATTGTTCCACAAAAAGAGGACAAACGAAACAAACCTCGAGATTCAATAGCATTTGATTATACGATAGCGTTGCCTAAGAATGAAGAGTCGTTCATCGCTAAGACCTCATGTTTTTCGACTCCAATGGCCGACAAAAGTAGACGAATTAACTTTGACTTCAATGAAATGCCCACTAATGCCAATTTTGTCGGCGGAATGACCGCCAAATTGAGTCCAATCATTGAAACGAGCCGTGAATATAATAGTAAATCGTCGTCGTCGGCCTCATCGGGAACATTGAGTGCCCGAAGTGGTCCACTGAGACAAAAGATGTCTGCTTACGGGGGGTCGCGGCGAGTGTTTGCCACAAAAACAACGGATACAATAAATAATTAGCATTTTATTAGAATATATATATAATTTTTTTTAGCATTTTAACGGTTTGGATATATCACTCCATTTGTATATATAATAATAATAATTATAATAATCATTAATTTTATAATAATTTTACAAAAAAAAATCTGATTTGTATAACAAAATATTAATACATCTCTTATCAAATCTGAATATATTTATAAATATATATATATTTGTATAGAATAAACAAAAAATAGATTTTATATCATTATAAATATTAGTCATTTCATTGTTTTCTCTTAAAGAAGCCCATCATTCCCGACGATCTCTTCTTGTTTGAAGACTTTCCAGGATTTTGGATCTCTTCTTCACTCGACGTCGTTATGTTTGTTATGTTTGACAATGAATTCTTAGTGTTGCCATACATGGGCTCCAATGTATTACCACCACTAGTCGGTGGTCGACTGTTTGTCGGTAGACTCATATGTCTGGCCGTCGGAATGGACTGGAATGTGGTTTGCGCTGTAAAATAGCATTTATTAATAGATTAGGTTTTTTTTATCGAAAACAATGGCATTTTATAAAGTTTTAAATAATAAATAATTTCAAGTGTGAGAAAACAATACATGCAATAAAATGATTCAAACATATCATTTAGGATATCAAATAACAAGTGAATCATATTTTTAATAAGTGAATGAAACAAATAAAATAAATAAAGCAATAAATCATTGATAATATGATTGTCAGAAAAGTAAAATAAATATAAAAGTTTCGTAAAGTTTGACAAATCATTGTTAATGAATGTGTTAAAAGTGWTTATTATGCTGTACTGTATGTGTTAAATAATTGTTAATAAAAGTATAGATCAAATGCAGGTGATAGTCAAGAATAAGTCAAATATTTTTGTGAAATTAACAAACGGACCAATACGTAGGTCTGAGTTTTGCTGCAAAAGCCATTGTTGTGCTACAGAATTGTTTTCATAAGTGTTGGAAGTGCTGGTCATTCCATACAAGGGATGTGTGTTTAGGTTTGCGGGACTCGGAGGATATGGATGTGAAGCGTATGTATTATAAGCTGTTTGAGCGCTATATCTATTGTAAGCGACAGCCGAAGCGTTTGGTACCGAATCGGACATATAGTATGGGTTGTATGGGTTTAACACTAAATGGCAAACAAATGCAATCGGTTTGTTGTTTGACAAACATTTAAGATATAAATTAAATTTGAGACTTACTTTGATCGCTGACGTTGTTGTTGTTGTTGGTGTTGGTGTTGTGGTTGCCGTTTGTATTCGTCACTTCTGTTTGCGGATAACTTTGTCTGAAACTACCTTTTCGTTGATAATCTACTTCTTCTATTTGATTTCCATATATTAAATCATTAGTTGGTCGCATTGGAAGTGATTCTAAATTTGTGAACGAATCAGTTTCTTCTGGGAAACTACTTTGTGTTGGCAATGGCATCGGTGGTAACGGTGGAGGAGGTGGTGCACCTCTTTTGTTAAGTGATTCATTTGATTGAACGGATGAATAATTGGTTGTTAATATAGGCATTGATGTCAACGATCGGACATTAGTTGATGAGACGGGTTGTAAACCCATAGGATTTGATGAAATGGAAGACTTTCTGCTGAATTCTGGTGATGAAGAGCTTTGACTCGATGTCTCATATTTGGAGACCGTATTGATTTGTGGCGACTGATCACCAGTCGAGTCAACTTTATTTTTTGGCGCATTAGTTGATCCATAGATTGAGACATCTTTATGGGCGTCATAACTAAGTAATTGCATCGATGGTGGAAGTGATGCGTGAAATGCAATTTTATTGACCCATTCCTGCATCCGTTGTTCGTCATTAGTGGTGAACAGATACTCTGAGCCATCACTTAACTGTAATCTGAATACATGTTTTCGTTTGGTGTAATCGGAAGCTCGCGAACACTTTGCGCCCAACACTGAAAATGGTGGCGCAGAGGCCTGATTGTCGACGAAGCTCTCCTTATCCCTGAAGAAACACAACAATTGTCCGCAAAGAACAGTGTAAAATGATTTCCACGAGCGGACAGTCGCGCGTTTTCCTCCGGCCTGTAGTTCCTGTTTGCGCTCTAACATACCCTCACATTCAAGAGGTGGCAACTGATCCGGCTCTACGTTCACCACTTTAGTGGATCTAAAGCTCCGTCTTCTGGTTGTAAAACTAGGTGTCCTCTTCGGTGACGCAAATTTGACGCTTTCGGCTCTTTTGACAGCTTTAGGGATAAATAGGTTTTCCATTTTCTTGACCAAACCTTTAGAGTCGTTTTCATGACTAGATTTACGTCCGTTTTCATAAAGTTCTTTGTCTTCATGTCTTCTTTCGTCTAGAATTCTCATTTGTTCTCTTTGTTTAATCTGTTGTACTCTTTCGTGTTCTTTTCTGGCGATGGCATCCTTTTTCATGCGTTCTTCTTCTTTCTTTTGTTCACAAAAATCTTCTTCAATTAGTGTCAATCTTTGAATTGTCTTAAGTTTTTCCTCTTGAGAAATAATTGCTTTCTCAAAATCTTCATGTTTTCGGATCAAATCTTCAACTTCTACAATAGAATCGCCTAAATTTGGATCGATTATCAGTGGCTCTCTGGAGGCGATCCATTGTTCCAGTTGTTGGGCGTCGTGTTTGAACAGTTGAGCGTCTAAGTTGTGTTCATAAATGATTCTTCGTTTATTCCATATATCCATCAGATTCTTGTGCGCGCCGTTTAATTTGTCGATTTTTTCTCGCACTTCGTTGGCCATAAAATGGCCGGATTTGATGATCACTTCGCCTTCATTAACAAACTTAATAAATGAATCATTTCGGGCATCGATTTCGGTTTTGTATTCTTTATGTCTGTTAAGTTGTGTCTCAGCACTGATCACATCTTGACTCAGCTCGTCTTCGGCAGTAATCAATGCAATCATTTCATTAATAGAAGCCATTAGTTCTCGATATTCATCAAAATAAGACTGAAGAGTTTCCGCTTCAAACAATTGTTGTCTTCGTTGGGCTGACTTCTGAAGTAATTCATTCCACGTTTCTCTCACCTCATCGTTCTTTGCAAAGATGTGATCACTGGCATCGGGAAACAAAGCGGCCAATCGTTTTGCTTCTTCAAGTAATGCCTCGACCTGTTCCCGAACAGCTGCCAAATCGCGTTCAAATCCTTCGTTAGAGCGAATCATTGCCTGAATTGATTGCAAGTCGTGGTCTGAAGTGTATGTTGTAGTCGAGTCTTTTTCATGAATCCAAGCGATGGTCTCATCAGCACTTCTATCAAATGTATGGACCTGTTTGGCGCCGTGAAGTGCGTCCTGTCGTGACTGAGCCATATCTTTCAATTCATTCCAAGCCATTAATACTTGATTTAATTTTTCCTGATTTTCTGGTATTCCTTCGCCGACTGCAGAATGCAATGAAGCGATTCTCTCTTCATTTGAGTTCAATGTTATAATAAAATTATCAAATCTTTGTATTAATAGCTCGACGTGTTCCACATCCTGTCCGTAGTCTTCAGAACAGGCGATAACCATCTGTTCTTTAATCCAAATAAGCAGTTCGTCGGCATCTCTTATGAATGAAAAGTGTTTTTTATTTGTCAATAATTTTGAATATTTATTATCACATAAATGATTCAAATGTTTAAATTTGTTGTCGACATCACTGATCTTTTCTTTGATTAGTTCGTTATCGAAATGATTTCTTTCAATCAAACTATTTCCCAATTGAAATATTTTTGACAAATTTGTAGACACATAACGCTCGGAATCGCGTTTTATTAGTTCCAGTTTTTTAATGAGTGATATCACAGTCTCTTCATCTCTGCCATAGTCTTCATTCTCGAGGAATGGCATCCTTTCTGACCACCAATTATCTGCGTCCAATACATCTGAATATAATTGTTGCGATTCAATGGCATCTGAAAGTCTCAGTCGACGAATAGCTGCGGCGTCTTTRATGGTCTGGATTTTGTTCTGAAGCTCATTGATTAATGACTCGATTTCGTTGGCAGCAAAATGTTGGGATCGAATCAATGAATGTCCTTTACTGATGATTGTTGTCAACAGTGGTTCCCGAGCGGCAATCTCTGCTTCGAGTGATTGATGTTTTTTACGGAGTTTTTGGACATCAAGTAAACTGTTGCCTAAATCTGTGGCCATTACTTGCATTTGTTTTTCTTCAGTCCAATTGAACTCGTCGTCAATATCTCGTTTGAATTGAAACAAAAGGAGTGCTTCTTCAAGGTTTTCGCGTCTGATTTGCATCGGTTCATGAAGTGCTTGATATCTTTGGATCACATTATGAGCTCTTTCTTCGATCTCGTCTTTCATGAAATGATTGTTTTGTATGAAAGCTGTGGTCAGGTCTTTGATTTGTTCAATGTTTTCGCTGTGATTRTTAATATCATTTTCGATGAGTTGATGTTTTTTCATAATATTCTGTGAACTAATCAGATCTTTTCCGTGATCTTCATCGGCTAAAACTGATTCCATGTCAGTCATCCAAAATTCGAGATCATCGAGCATTCGGTGAAACTGAAGCGCCTGATAAGCGTCTTGTAGTCGCTCTTTCTTGAGAGTGATTTCATCCAAGAGATTACGCCACGACTTTTCAATATGAGTTAAATGACTTTGAATTTCATCACTCATGAAATGTCCGGAACCAATGAGTGATTCGCCTTCAGTGAGAATGCCATCAACTCTTCCTTTATTAGCTGCTAATTCTGCCTCAAAAGCCGCGTGTTTTTGGATTTTAGACAATAAATTGATTGAATCTCTATATGACTCATCACTCGCTACCTTAAGTTTCTCATTAAGCCATCCGACGATTTCGTTGACATTTCGCAAGAATTGATGAAATAGTTTTGAATCATTCAATTTATTTTGACGTTGTTTTGATACTTCCAACAAACGATCTTTTCGTGAAACGGCTGACCGACTCTTTGCCAAAATGTTTTCTGAGTCAAAGTGATTGTTTTGGACCAATTCATTGGCAAATTTACCCAATTCTGAAATTCTTTGTTGTGTTTGCAATGTCTTCTCAAAGTTGTCGTGTTTTCTTATCAATGACTCGACTCCGGCTAATGATTCGCCCAAATCTTCGTTATTAAGAAATGCTTCTTTAGTTGAAAGCCAATCATCTGATTGTTTCAAAAGCTCATTAAATAACTGCAATTGAAGTGATTGTGTTAAGTAGTGTTTTTTTTCTTCCCACACCTGATCCAGAGATCGTCGCAAGTCTTCTAATTTTTTCAAACCATTTTCAACTAAATCTTTATTTGGGTTTTGATTTTGTTCATCACTAGTATTGAATTGTTGAAGAAGTTTGTGTCCAAATTCTTTAAGAGACAGAAAAGTGTCTTTTCGGGCCATTATTTCAGTTTTAATGTCGTCGTGAAGTTGTAAATCATTTCTGACATCAGTTATTGTATTTGAGTTATTAAGTGTTGCTTTCATTCTATGATTAATGAGATTATTGGCCCAAATGTCAGTTTCCTTGACTTCTTCAAGAAATTTATGCAAAGTATAAGCCACTGACAATCGACTTCTCTTAGAGTGACATAATTTGCTTAAGTGTCGCCAATTATCCTGAACTTCATTGATTTTGTTCCGACAATTGGCAGTCATGTCCGGAAATTTGTTAATTAATTTTCGGCCTTCATTTTCAATAAAATCTTTAAGACGTGTCTCAATGGCATTAACCTCTCTTTCAATGGCTTCTTGTTTTCGTTGAAGTGCTTCAACTGATTCTAGATTTTTATAATCTTCTTCTTTGTCGAGTATAAGACACTTTTCTTGAATGCGTTCGTCTAAATCGCATAAATCTCTATTAAAACGATGTACTTCTGCAGCATTGATAAGTTTTGTCCGATACGAGTCTATTAATATCTGAAGATCTCTCCATTTTTCATTCAAGAGATTTCTGCGTCGATCGATATGCGAAAACTGTTGCGATTGCGGTGATTGTGGCGCTGAATATAATGTCTGTTGACGGACTAGTTTGTCGGCCAATACATTGATGTGTTTGAGTCTCTTGTCGTCGACTCGCATATCGCTATCGACGTCATCGAGTTTTCTCTGGAGTGCCAAACAGTGTTCATAATCTTCACCGGTGTCACTGTGACCAACCATTAACTCTTTATCTCTGATCCACGACTCGACGTATTCGCAGTTTTGATTAAATTCAAGAATATCTTGTGCTTCTTCCAGACCACGGCCTCTTATTTCTGATGCTTCCAGCAATTGATTCCATTTATGGATCAATTGTTCTAATTGGGAACGAATTTCAAGTGCTTTTTCATGTGATTTAGCGATTAGATGATCGGCTTTTTGCTTAATACTCTTGATGTTAACGCCGTGCGCCTGAAGTTCCAATTGAAAGGACTGATGTTTTTGTAGTTCTTTGACTTTATCTTCTAATGAAGTGGTGTTAACATTGACAACCTGTTGCTGTAATTGTTTTTGTTTGCTTTCCACCCAATTATCTGCTTCGATGGCATCTCTTCTGAATTGAGTCAAAATTAGTGCATCATTTAAGCGTTGTCTTCGTTGAAAACATATTTCTTTAACATTTACTCGTTTACCACTTATTTCTTCTAATTTTTGTTTTATTAGATCACTTTGAAAATGCTTTTGTTTGATTAACTTAAGACCTGATTCTTGTAGTGAAAGAAGTTTTTCGTCGTGACTTTGAACCACTTTTTCGAAGGCCTCGTGTTTTTTAATGTTTTGTTCAACTTCTTCAACTGTAAGACCTAAATCATCATTTTGCAGACGCTGTTCCTGTTGTTGACTCAATTGATCCAATTGTTTGTAATCACGCATAAAAAAGTGTACATCAATTAGTTGATCCAAATGTATTTTATTGAGATGCCATTTCTTGTGAAGACTTTCTCTCAGTTCAATAACTCGTGCCATCATTTGTTGAATTTCATTGATGGCGTAGTGATTGGAATCTTGTTCTTGAGATTGTTGAACAATGAGATGACCCGTTTCGAGTACTCTTTGGAAGACCTCTTCTCTGGCCTCGATTTCCAGTTTGAGACTCTGGTGGTCAACTCGGATGAGTTGTGCGCTCTGAGCGTCTCTCACTCTATCAATTGTTTCCATTTGTTTGTCTAACCCGAGCGCCCACTGCTCTAAATCACGTACAGAAGCCATCATTGCCTGTAACTGATACGACTGTTGTAATTGTCTCTTCCTGATGATCACCTTCTGTTGAAGTGCTGTCCAGTGCTCGACAACGATGTTTTGCTGTTCACAAATGTGTTCAGCATTACCGCCGGGATATAGTCCCTGAAGACGTACGGAGTCATCGATAAGCACTTGAAGCTGTGCCTCGAGTGCCACCAAATCGTTTTCAAAGACTTCGTGTTTACGAATAAGACTTTCGACTGAATGCAAGTCTTTTCCCAAATCACTCGAATTGATTATTGAAAACTTTTTCTGAATTCTTGAGAGCGCTTCCGCAACATCTCTATTGAATCGATGTATTTGTTGTGCGGCCGACAACTTCTGTTCTCTGGCCTCAATGTTCTCCAATAATTGATTCCAAAACTCTTGTATTTTTTCAATTCTTCTTTCAATTATATCGTTTGGTTCTGTTTTGATTAGCTTTTGTCCCGACTCTAACAAAGACTTATATCTTTCATCGTTTGCTAATATTTTGCGTTTAAAATCAAAGAACTTTGACTGAAGAACCAGTAAGTGTTCGAAATCTTTGCCAAAATCTTCGCTAATGGCGTTAACCATTTGTTCGGAAATCCACGACAAGAAATGATCGGATTCTCTCATGAATTCGTGAAAATGTTTTGATTGAATCAGTCGGAGACGCTTTTGATTGGCCACTCGTTGCAAACTCTTAATCTGTTGATCGATGTCTTGCATACGATTTTCAATGATTTTCTCGGAATCCTTAAGAGTATTCTCTTGTTTGTTAACTCTTTGTTTTGGTTGTGGAAGTCGTTGTTTTTGTTGTGCTTCAGATGACTCCTCATCGCTGAATGAATCAGAAAAAGTAGTTGTCTTCAGTTGATCGACAATATGTTTTGCCTGTCGACTCATTTCAACAATTATTGTCGAATAGGTGTCAACTTCGAGTTCAATACCCTTTTGTTTGGTCAACAATTTGATAGCCGTGTCCTCATCTTTTCCGTAATCATTACTATTAAGAATATTGAACTTTTCATTGATCCACGACTCGACTTCATTGGTCTCAGATAATAGTTGTTGTATTGTAAGCGATATTTCCAATAATTTCTTTCGTTCGACAACTAATTGCTTCAGTCGCTGCCATTTCTGTGCCAATTCTTGACATTTCTCATCAATTAATTGGTGTTTAAAATGTTTATCACTGACTAATTGTTCGCCTTTTGTCAATGTTTTTTGTATTTGTTTTTCGTGTCCATCAACTTCTCGTTCGAGATTTTGTTTGTATTTCTTAATCATATTCTGTGCATCTGTCAGATTGTGTCCAACGGTTCTTGATTTGGCCGATGGATTGTGTTCTCTAATCCATTGAAGTTCTGCATTGATCTCAAACTCGAATTCAAAGAACTTAAACGATTCGAGAAGTTTTGCTTTTCTTTCTTCTAATTTTGGTTTCATTTTAGCCAAACTATTAGACACAGTATTACATGAATTCAGTATATTTTTGCCGTCAAAATGTGTTTCTGCCATTTCTTCTCCCATTTCGGTCAGTTCTTGGATTCTCTTTTCAATGACAGTTATCTCAACTTCGACTGCATTGTGTTTTTGAAGTAATTCTTTACAACTTCTTAAATCAGTTCCCGTTTCTTCCGAATAGATATATTTTTCGAGCTCTTGTAATCTCTCTTTAGTTCTTTCGATACCCTTATTGTACTCCAACTGTCCCGACGCCTGATGTAATCTCTGGCCACGACTTTCGGTTAGTGAACACAACTCAAGCCAATGCTGTTGACATAATTTGATAATAGTTGTGATATCATCGCTAGCAAAGTGTGACAATGAGATTAACTCATGTCCTCTTCGTTCAATTATTGTCAATCGGCTCTGATTTGCGGCCACTTCTGCCTCAAAGGCTTCATGTTTTTGAACTTTTTTCTCCATATTCTGGAGTTCTTTATACGAGTCATCGTTTGCAACCTTTTTCTTATCCAAACACCAACTCTGAAAGTCTTCAGCGTCTGCTTTCAATTCTTGATAGTTGAGAGCGTCGTTCAACAATTGTGTCCTTTGAAGCGCTTTTTCTTTGACACCTACTCTACGATCGATGACTTGTTTTCGTCTGATATCAATATTTGGCGAATCATAATGTTTTGCATCAATTAATTTGTTTGCCATATCATTGAACAGATGAAGTCTTTCGTCTTGTGCTAAAAGAGTTGCGATAAAGTTTTCGTGTCTCTTCTGAAGAGTAAAAACTGCATCCAAAGTCTCGCCTAAATCGTCAAACTCTAAGAAAGTCAAGTGAGAGTTCGTCAATGTGTCCAATTGGTCGGCCTCTTGGTTGAAGATCATCAGGTCTTTGCACTGTCGCAACCAATTATTTTTTTTCTGCCAACTCTTATGAATTCCTTCTTGTTCTGAGTCTAACTCTTGGACTATCGCTAAAACTTCTTCACTTTTCATTTGTTTAATCAACTGTTTGCCCAAAAGTCGCAGATCATTAAACTCGTCGTTATGAGCGGCAATTTCTTTGCCCAAATCTTCGTGGGATTCAATTAATTGTTCGACAGTCGCAACATCTTTAGCCAAACTGATGTCGTCATTGTTTAGTTTTTGCTGGACATCGTGTCTGATCCAATTTAATAGATCTTTGACCGAGTTTTTCAAAACTTGAAGACCGAGTGATTCATCTAACTTAGATCGCCTTTCATTTGCCTTTTCCTTAACCTTTTCCCAGATGTCCGCCAACTCTTTCTGTCTCATTGTTACAGTATTTCTTTCGGTCGGATACGAGTTTTTGACCGATTCGGCCAATATATTCACTTTATTAAGTTTTTCTTCAATTGCGGCCAATTCTCGTTCAATATTATCGTGTCGTCGATGTAGTGCTTGAACAGTCTTAAGATCTTTGCCAAAGTCTCCGCTGACATCGATTTTATCCAACTTTTCGAGCATCCATTCGGCAGTTTCATCGCATGTATTGTTGAACATCTCGACAGTTGTCAATCCCTCGACATTTTTTCCCAACTCAGTCATCAAACGATTCAATTTATCCCATTTTTTGTGGATTTGTATTTGTCTTTGTTTTATATTAGACGAATAGTGTTGAACTTTACCAGAAGTGAACTCATCGGCCAATCTATCGATTTCGTCAAGTCGTGACCTATTGGCCGACATTTCGGTAATGAAATTTTCGAATTTTTTCCTCAACTTTTCGATTGGATCCGTCAACAAATCAGATCCCTGGTGTTGGCCTTTTTGTTGCTGATAAATACAAGTCGTGTCCATTATTGCCTTTTCTGTGTCTACTATCCACGACTCAAATCCATCGCATTCCCGATTGAATCGGAACAGTTGGATGGCATCCTCCAAGTATTGTCGTCTTATTTTACACGACTCAACCAATTCCTCAAACGAAGTATTAATATTTTTCTTTCTTTGTTCAACACTTTCCGCGTCACATATTATACTAAGTCTTCGTTTACTATTTCGTTTGTTTTGTTTCTTTGGCTTTCGATTAACTATTTTCTTCACTTTTTGTTTTTCCCAAACCTTTATTGGCTTTTTGACCACTTTTTGGGCAATTTTTGGCTCAATTTCTCGCACATAATTTGCGGGAACGAAGCCATCATTTCTTTCCCTTTCTTTTCGGACATTCCACCAGTCATTGTTGGTCTTCTGTAAAAGTATTAGATGTTCTCCTTTAGCAACACTGAACTTGTCCTGTCCTGAGAACGGATATAATGCCATCACATATGGAATTCGAATCTCTTCGATGACATCTTGGATAACCTCTTTTTCGACCAACTCGTCGACCCATTCCTCTTGAGTAATCAATTCGTCTAAATCTCCAGAACCTGCAGCTGTTGCCGCAGAAAAAGCGTCACCGCATATCATAAATAGAGAAGCAATTCCCGATTTGATCATTTTGTCGGATTGTGTATTCAGACGTTTGATATCATTTTCATACGCCTGGATCTCACTCTCGAGTCGGGAATGTCTCTGAAGAAGCGCCAAAGCGCTCGGTTCGTCTTTGCCATAGTCTTCGGATGTGACTAATTGCATCTTTTCCTTCATCCAAGACTCGGCTTCATTGGCATCGGTATGGTATTGAAAAGCTTCCATAGCGTCAGTTAATTGTTTGGTCTTTTGATCGGCCAATTCATGCAAACGATCATATTTTGTGGTCAGACTATCGATTCTTGTTTTAATATCAGCCGATTCTGGATGTTTGGCAGCGATTAGTTGTTCTCCACTATCGCTGACTTTTTTCAGCCGATTTTTATGAGCTTTGATTTCTGTTTCTAAAACACTATGTTTTTGTTGCAATGAAATAACTGCCAAAAGATCTTTCGAAGGAAGGATTGCCTGACAAATGCGTTGTCGTTCGCTAAGAGTTGCCTCCTCTTCCTCCACGTCCTGAACGAACTGATAATAAGCTCGAAGTTCTTCTAATTTCAATCGTTTAAGTTTTAGTAGGTCTTGTAATTTCGAGTATTCGTTATTTAATGTCTCCAATTCTTCGACAAGAAATGGCGCTTCTTTGCCAATCAGTTCATTGGTGTAAGAACTCTGTTGTTTGTCGTTTTTCATCAAATTTTTTGATATATTATTTAGCTTTCGTATAGTCTCTCCCTGTGAGGACACCTGTGCCTCCAGAGAGTATGCCTTTGAAGAAGATCTTCAACAGCCAAAAGATGATTTACGACAACATTTGCATCGGATGTCAAACTTTTCTCAATCTCTTTGATTTCGTTTTTAATTGTTTCCACTTCTCTAAGAGATGACATAAAACTCGATGCAGTATTCAAATTGTTTTTGTGTCCTTCAAGAAGACTTAAAAGATGTTCCCATTGATGGGCGATGTGTTGTTCGCGTTGTTTGATGGCATCACTGTTATGGTAGTGACCATCTATCAACTCCTGTGCCATAACTGTCAATGCTTTGAAACGTTCACTTCGTGCCAATATATCAGCACTGATGGCTTCGTGCTTCTTGACAGTCGCCTCAACTTGAGTTAAGTTACTGCCATATCGGGGATCACTCAACACTTGAATCATTTCTTTGAGATAACCCTCCCGTAAAAGACTTTTCCTTTCAAAACTGAAGGCAAGGTTTTCTAGTTTTTCTAAACGTGACATCTCTTCCCTTAAGAACATCTCTCTCTGATACTCAGCCTTTTCAAGTGCTGTCCACTCTTTTTCGATATCTTGAACTAACTTTCCTTCTGGCGGTATATATAATGGCTGACCCAATGATTTCATTTTGGTCTGAATGTTGAACAGAAGTACTTCAATCTCAGATCTGTCCTTATATTTTGGCGGTTTTTCTACAGTTCTGTATTCTTTGAATTTAAGAAACTCTTTTTGAATCCCTTCGACACTATTGGACACAGATCTGTCTTCGAGTTCCATAATCTTCATTTTAATCCAATTAATAAGATCTGTTGTCATCATTTCATAGTTAAGCTGTTGGCGATCGATATCAATCAGTTGTTGAACAATGTTGGCGATCCTTCGGCCGCCTTTCATCTCACTATTCATTTTGGCAAATGTATGATAATATGACGAGACATATGTCAAGATAGACTTCTCGTCGGGTTTTGCAGTGTCTACGTCTTCGGCGTCAAGAAGTTTTGAAACTCCTAATTCTTTGTCGGCGACATCGAAGGCATTGTTTAGTGTTTCGATGGGATTGTGTGGGTTTAAGGACTTGTAATTGATAATATCTGGTCGGTGCGCGTGAATCAGGGCATTGAATGCCATCCCTGATCTCCAACTTTGTGTAAAATCTCTTACCTCTACATATGGATAACCAGAGGTTTTTCTTTGACACCACAACAGCAGCGCTTCTTTTGCGTGCTTTTTCTCAGAGCTTTCTTCGTCCACTTGTATTTCAATATCTTGTATTTGAAATCTTAGAATAATAGTCCAGAGAAGACCTAAAATTAATCGTTTGTTTCCGTCGACTATATCTTCGGCACCGATACTTTCGAGTCGAACCTAATTTTTAAAAATAAATATTATTATTAATATTTTACTAATAAAATCAATGGTATATAAAAACCTTTGTATGAAGAAAAGCAAGACTTTTGTTGACATTTTCAATCTTATGGACTCTCATTTTGCCATTATTTGGTTTTCCTAACTTTTCTCCGCTAATCATTTCCAAGAGTTTCAATAGTAATATTCCTTCCGTTAGGTCGACAAAGATGTCATTAACTTCCAAATGGGCCTTCAATTTGAAAATAATATTTTAAACTTAATTAGTAATTATAAATAAAGTAATTAATATGTAAATACAATTTGTTTTTAAATTTAAATTTTAGCATGCTTAATTTTCAGTTTTTTTATAAATTTGTTCACTAATTAATTAATTCAATTATTTATAATTCAATGTAAATTTTAAATATTCAGTAAATTTTAAATATTCAGTAAATTTTAAATATTCAGTAAATTTTAAAAATAATAAATTTTATATATATTTAATAACAATTGAATTAAATAAAAAATAATTAATTGTTTAATTACTTTATTAAGTATTGAATTAATCCATTTTGTGAATGTCTTTGTCTGTATGTATTCCCGTTCCTTCTGAAGCACTTTAATCCTCTTCTTCTCGTACTTATCGCTGTCATATCTGTAAGTTTTTAGATCTTCTTTATCGTAATCCATGATTTAATCATTTAAGCGCTAAATTCATTGATAAAATTCCGTTTAGTTTATTGTTTTTATTGTTGGTGTAAATTATAAATAAAATATCAATTATTAAAATTTTATCGATTTTTTAAAGAGAATATTCATATACTGTTATACAATGAAATTGTCAGTTTCGTATAGTTTGTCATTTCTCTAATAGAGTTTTTTTGTTTTCTAAGTAATACTATTAATAAAAAAAATTATTTTTTAACATAAACTCATAAATATTAAATGGCAGTATTGTATATTTTTTATTAGTGTGATTGTTATAAAAACAAATTCAATTGCGATAAAACAACAAAATAAAACTTATATATTTAATGAAAAGTCATGCAAAGTAATGGTAATTATCAAAAATGATATCATTTTTAGTGCCAAAAGTACAGTACAGCTAATATTGTACAGCAATTCACGTTCATTAGTGTCAAGGTCTATATTATTTTTTGATTATTATTAATAAAATAGCATATCTTTTAGCTAATAATCAATTTGATAATAATAAATATAATAAAATTCTTTAGATTAAAAAAATTGGTGATGGTCAATTGGTATATTTACTAATTAAAATTTTTAAAAATAATTGGTTAATCATGCAGTGAATATTATTGCATTTGGTTTGCTATACCAGTAAAAATTTATACATATATATAATATTATCAACAATTTTGACAGTCATATGATTGCCATAAAATTATAACATATACAAGAACCGGATTATTTACCCAAAAAAAGTGAACCGAAAATATAAATTAAGCGAAACTTTATTATCAATTAATGAAGCGTTTAATATGCATACAGAAAAAAACTGAGAGGCGTTGTAAAACTTTAACTAAATTTTTATATATATATATATTAAGGATTCATAAGATGATAATAATATTAAAAAATAGTAAATTATAGTACAGTAAAGATTTTCAAATAAGACTCTCTGACGTAATAAAAAGTAATTACTAGTAAAAAATTCATACAAATACAACATTACATATATTTATAATAATTGTAGTCCTCATAGTATAGATATAAAATTGTATTACATGTTGTCATTTATTGTATTAATAGTATGACAATCATCTGATTCATTATAGGTCTTTACGGGTTAAGTGTGTGCATAGCATTAATAGTGTATTCTTATTAGGTCATTCTTAGACAACGTTATCATATTTATTGTTAAATAGAAATAAATATGATAACGTTGTCTAAGAGTGACCTAATAAAAATACACTATTAATGCTATGACACACTTATATAATGAATCAGATGATTGTCATACTATTAGTACAATAAATGACAACATGTAATACAATTTTATATCTATATATTTATATCTCGATATATATGAATGTACGATACATAACATGATTACATGACGTAATAATCGAGAGTCGTTATTCAACAACAGGACTGTATAATAATAAAAAAATGTTGCAAAAGACTATCTACTGTAAATGTTATGACTATGAATTGCTTATGTGATAACTGGGCTAAATTGGTAGCAATGGGTACATTATATGATATACAGTACTGTATTTAATGATAACATACCAAGTATTCACGTTTATAGACAATAATTGTATTAAAAATTATTTCAATTGACATAATATTAATAATATTATCTATCTAATACGTTACTAAACTTGAAATAAGATTAATGTCAATTAATTTGATTAAAATCGGCATTTTCAAATAAATAAATAAAAATGTTACACAAACCGGGAAATTAAATCGTGATTGAAATTTCCATTTATGAATATGTATTAAATTACAAATACTTAATTTACCTATACTTTAAAACAAATTCTTTATGCATTGTTACCAGAGTTGAGAAATATTTGATGAAATTAATATAATTTATTACTAAATTTAAAAAATAACTTAATAAACATATCAGATGACAATTAGCTGAATAATAAAAGTATAATATATTGTTACGACTAATATAAAGACTAATATAAAACTAATTTAAAATAAATAATTATTTTATTTACATAAAATATTTTACCAAGAATTTTATTTGCAAGTATTTCAAATTATATAATAATACCATTTAATTCAATTCAATTTATTTCAAAATTTTGGGGAAAACTCTGCAAATTTCTCATTTTCAAGTTATCTATTGTATTATAATGTTTCAAAATAGGAAAAAATCGGAAGATATGTCAATTAAATAATAAAAAAGTAAAATAATTTGCATATTATTTACTATAAAATATTATTATTAATAATATACAACAGAGAATATAATTCATAAAATTTATGAATTAAGAATTTTCCGCAAAAAATATCAAGTTTTACACTGATTTATGTCATGTTATGTTAAGTTAACACAAAAATTCTTATCTAAGCTATAGGTCAGTCATAAATATTATTATATTTTTACAAATTATTTATAGAGATGAATGTCTTTTTTAATATTAAATAAAAATAGTTACTAATTAATTACTAAATATTAATATATATATATAATAGTAATAAAAGATTAATATTTTATGATTAGAGAGAAAAATATTAATAATAATTGTCATCATATTAACACAGAAAAATGAGTTTATAATTACTTATTAAATAATTTTAAAAAAAATATTACTAACTTTTGACACAACTTTGTTATAAATCAAATATTGAATTTATGATTAAAAAAAACTATAAAATAATATTATCGACGCCTATTATGGTTGACTTCCTCGTTGATGACACACTCAAAAATCATTGTTATAAATCTCAAGTAATAACTAAAATAATGAAAAATAATAATACGGTAAAAAATAATACAAACAACAATAATAAGAAAATAACTAAATAATAATCAGAAACATAATTACTTGCATAAAAAAAGTTGCATATAATGCAAGAAAAATTGACATAGCTCAAATTGTTTTCAATTCAAGTGTAAACTCTATCATATCTCTAATATTGTATACACTATATGTTATCAATAATTTATTTTTCTCAATAAGTATATAAGATTTTTTTATAATAACTAACAGAAATGTATCGACAATATCGGCGACATATATACTGGTATTTATATATATATAGTATATTATTTATCTAATAAGTTAAAACATTTTTCAATTACTAATCTAAGTAAAAATGTCAAATGATAAATGACAAATGACAAATGACATTGCTAGAATAAAACTTTTTTATTGTTGATTATTTCATAACGACTTAAATAAAACAAACATTTACTTTTTTATGTATTATAATAATGTATTAATTGTTTACAATAAACATTTTGAAAATGTTTTCAAAATTGCTGCTTTACATTATGCTGTATAACTTGTTGATTGTTATTACATGCTACATCAAGCAAACATTATTATTATTAGTAGTAATAGATAGTATCCTAGTTTAAATTAAAAACAAAAATAATATATGGCACCCATTTGTATGAGAGTCTGTATGATATATATATATATATAAACTAAATTTAAACTACTAGTGCCCGTCGGGTACCTGTTATGTCAACCGATACACTCGATAATTAGCAAATAGATGATACTTTTTTGTTTGTTTGTTATATAGTTTGCTAAACGTAGTCACTTAATACTTGTTTTATTTTATCAAAAAATATTAAATGGATTAAAAACATACGATTACAAAAATATTTGTATTAAAAATATTTATATATTAAATAATAATAATAATAATAGTCCATATAAGTGCTCAATAATAATTGGCACAATAGTATTAAATAACCACTAAATTTGATGCACACTGAGATCGGGACTTTTTAATATTTAACATAATGTGTATATACGGTATATTTGCATATATAAGTTATATAAGGTAATGTATATATAGATACAGTGTATATATATTGATAAATGTTTAATAAATTAGTTAAATGAGCAAAAAGGGAGGCAAAAACATTAGCAATAAAATTAGTCACAAAAAAATAACTTACATATTATTATTGGTAATCAATATAAAAAAGTTGTTAAACAAATTTAAATGACATTTGTTGAGCAATTTTTCGCCGGATTTATCACATTAGGCGTGCATTAAAATAATGAAATATTGGGTRAAATATTAGCACAAAATGTGTTGTCATTGCTTTGAATTATAAAAGTTTGAAATAACAAAATATAACCAACACTTCTCTCTCTCGACTATTCACTTCATTATATGATTACATGAAAAGCAATTGGAGTGACTATTGACTCAACACAAACACATACATAGAGTCTCTCTAAGCTCAGCCTCGCATCAGCTCTAAAGGGGGGCTCAGCCTTACCAGTGCTATCACAACCACTTTAGCACTGGGGTTGGGTATGTATGTATGTATGGCCGGTACTCAACTTATCAACGATGCCTTCCATACTACCATTTGATTCCCTTATAAAAATTTTTAACATACAACACACACACACACACACACACACACACTCACACGTCACTGGTATGACTTGAAGAGCCAATCGACCACAAGTTTGATGCCTGACTGCCTCCAGGCAACCATTGAGTCAAGACTTGGCGCTCTCAGGAATCCCGTCCGACCAGCGATTCAGATATGCTAAGAATGAACGAATAAACATACCTGTGCTCACTATTGCCATACCTGTGCTTACTATTGCCAAACCTGTGCTTACTATTGCCAAACCTGTGCTCCTCTTTCTATAGGCTCTTTACATCAACACTTGCTATAAATAACAAACACAAACACACTCTCTTGCCGTGTGTTAGTATTGTCCGCACAAACAATCCATTTATTTAACCAAAACATTGTTTTATTTACTAATAGTATTAGACATTAGACAAAATTATATTTTATATTAACATTTAATAGTACAGTAAATCAATTTATAATTACTATATTTAATATTATAGGCTTTTTGTTGTTGGAGTATATTTTGAATTAATGTCAATTAGGAATATAATGGAAAACAATTAATTTGAAATTGTTTTCTATGTTAATAAATTCACAAACATGTGCTCCAATTATTATATAATAATTATAACTTATTATTATTTTTATTATTCAATCTGATTACTCAAATTTATTTATTGAATTTTATTATTTTAGTATATATATAATATATAATCATAATTTGATAACAATTATATTATCATATTCTTTAGAATAGAGAATAGTTTTTCAATACTGTATTTAATGTATTAAAAAAACTTTTTTTTAATTTTAAATTGATTATTACTATATAAAGTACTATACAGTGTATAGTTAGTTACTGAACTCAATTTGCAAATTAACGGTTTTATTATAATAAATATATTATATTTAAATAAATAAAAATTACTTTATGTTTGATTAAAAAATATAAAGTTTATTTTTACGTTGTTATATAACTACACAAAAATTATCTCGTTTGTCAGTACAAAAATGTAGACACCGTTATGTTATAAAAATATATCATAATATATACAGTAATAATTATATTTGTAATCAAGTAATTTAATTTATATTGCTTTTTTGCTCAAATAAAATAAAATTGATTATAATATTTTCACACAACACACATAAAATAAAGTGCTGTCGAGCCGTTAAACTTCAACCGGAATTTTAAAAATCATATAAACTTTAAAAAACTTTATATATACTATATATACTATATTTATACTATTTTAATATATATATATATATATTGTAAACACCGGTATTCAAGTTTGATATGAGTTTAAATTAATGGTAACCTCTTTTTTTGTGAGATTTCATACAAACATTGATTTAAAAATTTATTTAGTTTTTAATTTATAACGTGTAAATGTCAAACAATTTTTGTGCTAAATATATGCATTGAGGAGAAAATTTGACAAATCTATGAATTTATATTATTTGAAATCATATTTGAATCAATTGTTGTTTTTGTGCAAAAACAATCAGAAAAAACAAATAATAAAAAAACTATATTTCCTATCAATCATTTGTGTTAATGTATTTAAAATTCAACGTTTTTATAATAACAATATCTCATTAAATAAGATTATGATTTCCAGTGTTTTTTATTTAAAAATAAATGTGCCGTTCGTTAGTTACCTCAGTATTAATGGCAATAATTCATTTAAGTTGACATTTATTACATTAATCAACAGTTTATTAAATACAGTATATATATATATATATATATCTTTAGACTGTTTTATCGTTATTAAATAGTTTATCAACAAAAAATAATTTAATGCAATTATGCGATTAAATTAAAATAAACACTTTATTTGTCACAACATATTTTAACAATTTATTAACAAAATATAATAAATTTTAACAAAAATAGTTGTATTCAATAGTCAGGCCGCGTATAGCAAACCAATCTATTGTTATAAATTACATTTATGTATAGTCACATAAACGCCAAAATGATTCATTAAAATATCTCAATTACCTCACATTTTTTTGTAGATAATTTCATATCAACAACAAAAATAAAAATATTTGTTTTACATAATAATAAAAGTACTTTTATATTATATTATAATTACTAAAATCATAATTAATTGTAAATAATGCTATCATTTGATAATTTATACAGTATTTAACATATCAAATATATTTATAATATTTAAATAACAATAAAACATTTGGTTCAATATATACCGGTATATAAAATAAATATTATATATATATGTGTATATATATGATAGTTTTGAATTACAAATGCAAATAAACCAAAACTATAACATAAAATCTAAAATATTGGTAACTATTATATTAATTTAGAGTAAAATTTAAAAATTTTAACAAATAGTTTGAGAATTATGTCTAAAAATTAAGCTAAAAAATTGTAATTGAGTTCATTGGTCATCAACTTTATGGCCAAATTATTGGACAAACAAAACAGTGGCAAAATTAATGAAGAAACCTAATGGACATCTTTTCCTCGACATCTGTTCGCTCCAAAGTAGTACAGAACTCCTCAAAAGTGATGCATTGGTCGCCGTCTTTGTCGGCCTCCATTATAGTCCGGTCGGCGATATTAGACAACTGTTCTGTTGATATGTTAGAGCCAACCATCATATGTAGAACAGCTAATAGTTCTTCGCGCGATATCTTCTGGTCGTCGTCTAAGTCATACATTTTGAATGCAAACCTCAGCTTCTCTTCTCTTGAATTCAATTTGTTTTCGCGATTCTTCTTAATTGGTCTAAAACGAGACAAAACTCTCATAAATTGTCTAAAATTGATTCTCTCTTCGTAGCCATCGTTGTGGGCAAAGAAGGCCTGAACAATACGGTCGCCCAACGGATTGATGGCCAGCTCTGGTATGCGCAGGAAGTCCTCACGCGATAGCGTCCCGTTGTCTCCTTTGTCTAAACTAGTGAAACGACTGTATAGTCTTTCGATCTGCGATGGACTGACTGGTGATCACCACAAAAACAAATAAAGACATTTCATTAGTGATAATAACCATTACTTAAGACAACACATCCTTTAATAATAACTTACATCCGGTCTCCGCTTGAATGGCCAGAATCTCTTCGCTTTGAAGCATCAACGATGACTTATTACCCATTATTATCAATCGATGGTCGGATGAGATGACAAATGAGATTCAATAAGAAATCAGTTGTGATGTCGTGATTGTCGACACAAATCAATCAAACAAATCAAACCAATAATCAATTGATTGTCAATTAATTCAATGAAAGTACGCATCGATTAAGTACTCAAAAGTGCAGTACTTTTTGAAGGCAAACAATCATACAATCGATTCAATTATTATTATATTTTGTACTTAAAGTCAATCAGTGTTTCGATTGATTACTTGTTTTTATAATACAATCATAACATTCATTAATTACGTCACGTATTTGAGCGCTAATTACAAATCAAAAGTTTTATTATACATTCAGTTCATAAATACTTGATTTAAAAAAATAGTTTTAAATAGTTATTCAAATTAATAAATTGTTATTAATATATCATTTAAAAAAACAAATTTATTAACAAAATATTGCGATTTTTATATAAATTTGTATAATTTTTAAATTATGCTAAAAAATAAATATATATTAAATGTGTTGAAAACGATTAAACAACAGACAATTAAATCACTATTTCTTAGACTTAACAGAATTCAAGTTCAGAGCTGTTATCTTGACTTTTGCCGGAATATTCTTCGAAATATCCAAATCTTTGACAGCTTTTAATAAATCTTTTTCTCTTTGTGTTCCAGTTTTATCTCTAAGAAATAATTGAGTGGCAGTTTTGGCTGCTTTTCCTCTTTTACTGGTTCCGGGCATTACTTTTACTTTATATTTATAGCCATTGATTGCAGAATATGGACCACAAACAGGAATGGCAAACAAAAGATTATCTTCACTAAGAGGAACACCAGTTAGTGTTTCAACTATTTTAACGTCATCCGATTGGCCAACAGCTGTTCCAACATCTTCATCTTCATCATCATTGTCATCATCTACTTGTTCATCAAGTTTATCATTATCATCGTTGTGTTTGTCACCACTATTTCCAGTCTTGTCTTCAATTTTCTGTTCATTTAATTTGACAGATAATTCTTTAACATTATTCTTAACATCTTTTTCTTGATCTTTATTAACATTAATTTTCTCATTTGTTTTTATATCAATTTCTTTGTCTTTTTCTGTAATTTTATTATTTGACTTATTTTTATCGATTTTATGTCCCAATATAGCCATTCTAAGCTCCCGTTCCTCTTCGTCCTGATCTTTATATTTTTCTTTCATTTTCTTCAACTTAGCTCTTTGTCCGCGTTTCGGTTGTTGTTGTTTTTTATCATCGTTTACATCAATTTTATCAATTTTTTGATCATTTTTATTAACATTTTTATTATTTTTCTGGTTTCTAAGCTTTGCTTTGGTAATCGTTTGCTTAATTCTGGGTTCTTTCGACTTAACAATTGTATGACTTTCGTCTTCATTGATTTCATCAATAATCTGTTCATTTGATGTATCGTTCATTTGAATATCAAGTTTAGGTTTAGTATCGGGAAAAACAGTCGCTTCGTCTTCAGAGTCCGAGTCTTCACAGACAATCTCTTCTTCAATTTGTGATTCAGTTTCTGTGTTTGTTGTCGTAGTTGTCGATAAYTCAGAATTTAAAGAAATGGTTCGCTTTCTTTCATTACGACGTCTTTCAGTGCTTTCGTCGTCCAATTTAAATATATATCCAAATCCCATAACAAGTTGACTGAGTGGCAAATAATTTTTCTTTCCTCTGATCATAAAAGAACCCACAGATAGATATTCACCTGAAGGAGCCGTTTTAGAGACCTGATTGGGATGAACCCAGAAGGCACTGATCACAGTCTTTGAATCCCAGGCAGAGCTATAACAAATGGCTGCCTCTCCCGCTTCGTTCAATGTTTTCGGTGGAATAGGTTGTGTTGGATTGGCATTCTTAATGACTACTGTAGTGGCTCCGTGTGTGTCCGCGTGGACATAGATATCGGTTGGTTTCATATAGCGCTTAACAATTAACTCGTTTTGTTGGGCATCCCTTCCGGCGATAACAATATAGTTATCAGAGCTGACAAACCACAGAAACTTTTCAAACCATAAGACTTTTCTTGCTTTTGTAATATTAGTTTTGACGGCAACTTCTTTAAGTGTTTTCATGGCCTTCTGTTGAGCGCTTTTAAAGGCTTTCGCAGAACTTTCGATAGTCTTTTGCTCTTTGATGGCCGCATTTCTTCGTCTATCATAATATTTTCTTGCATTTGCAAAGGCGGACAAATCAATGTCAATGTCGACCAACGCTGTGTCTGCCTCTTCGTACGGATCATTCAACTTCATTGTGAAGTTGTTTTTATCTAATTTCAAACCAGTTATACGACTGGCAATAGCATCTCCTTCAGCCTTGGCGTCGTCTATTAGTTCCTGAATATCTTTCCACGAATACTGGTTAGCGATTGCACTTCTCAAGACAAGTAGCGCCTTCTCTACGATATCACTGTTCAYTTCAATTAGTCGTGCTTTGCGAATGTCTTCTTCCTGGACCTTATTCAGAGCTTCAATACGTTTCATGTGATCGGTCTTGACTTTGTCCAACTTCTTTATCGCATCCTTTTCATGGCTCAGCGCTTTTGCATCAATCTTCTGGCTCTCAATACTAGAGAAAAACATATCGACAGCTTTGTCAAAGGTATCCGTTTCGATATAACTCTGATTCGGATCTTTACTATCTTTAAATTGATTCAACAAAATTGGATGAAATTCAAGATATGTAACGACAGAAGCATTTGGTTCTCCGATTCGTTTTTCTTCCTTCTGAATGATAAAACCTTTTGACAAACCGTTTTTATTTTGCATAATATTATTACACAAATCCAATGCCTTTTCAATTTGATTTAAATTCAAATCAGATTTGTTTAGCTTTGGTTTCAAATCAAATTCAATGAACGAATGCTCCAGAAGTTGTGCACCAAATATCACCAAAGGATTCAACACTTTTTTCAGATTTTCTCCGTCCTTTGCTTTCTCTAAAACCTCTTTGAGTTCGTCGCCAACTAATGTCTTGTAGTCTTTCATAGTTTTTGCAGTTTCAATATTATACTTCTCTCTGACCACAAGTTTTACGTCTTCATCGCCCGACTTTCGGGGCCGAAGAATATTCAAAATAATATACTGATAGTCAGTGATAACAATGTTTCCCCTGTCGTAGAGCTCAAGGATTACATGATATGAAGCCTCGTTTGATCCAAACTTGAGATCAACCACTCGGTCAACACCTAATTGAGTGATACTTTCCAATCGTTTATTCTTCAGATGTTTTCTCAATTTCATTGTAAATCCATTGGGAGTATTACTCTTCGGCCAATCGTATTGTGTCGAATGGATCCGTATTCCCGATTCAATGATCAGCGACTCTTTGACCGATTCTTCGGTTTCCGATTGTTGACCACTTTTGTTAAGTCGAAACAAATAGGTTTTGTTGTCGATATCGTAGACTTGATTCACACGCATACCGACCAGCGATTGGCTGAGTTCGGCGCAAACGACACTTATGTCAAATGTCGAGAATCGGGTCTTCATTGTTGTTGTTGTTGTTGTGATCAGTTGTCTGTGATCTCAATGATGACCACTAAGTCTTTAACAAAACTAAAGTAATAATTGAATTCAATTCGTTATTCAAGCGATTATTACACAAAATTGAAGACAAAATGCAATATTTATTTCTTTAATAATAACATTACGATTATATTTGTATTACATTTACAGTAATTAACAATAATTTACGTACAAATACTGTATATAGAAAATCATAAACTAATTTATAATACTATGTATTGTAGAAATCGGCAAAAAGTTTTATTATTGTAAAGTTAATTGTATTTAATTAGAAATTAAACAATTATTTAATTGTAATTTCTCTCTCTCTCTCTCTCTCTCTGCGGTTAGTGTACTGGTTTGTGGTCAACAAAGTGGTCAACAAAGTGGTCAAATAAAATAATATTTACAAAAATTTGAAATCACTTGAGACAAAGTGTGATTTTTTGTATGATTACAGTAAAATTAGTCTTAAATATTTTGTGGCCATTAATCGGTATTTAATGCAATGGCAAGTGTGACCCCGGAGTTCGCATAAATTGTTTAACCCGTGTTTAACAGACATATACTTGATTTGAACAACAACTCAAAGAGCAGCAAATGTTGTGAAATAAATTTTTTWAAAATCATTAACAAAAATAATACAGATTTAGTATTATTCTATAGTATAGAATCTATACCTATATATATATTAATTTATTTATGATATGTTAATCATATAATAAGCTAACTTTAAAAACTTTAATTATAATTTATAATACATTAATTATTTGATTAAACAAACTGTGGGTTTCTCCCATTTATTAAAAGTATCATTGTTTAATTATATAAAAAATTTTTGTTAAGATTATGCAGTAAATATTATACATATTTTAACACAAATTTCTGTAATTTATATACATTTGTAAATAATTTGAACAAGATCAAAAAACATTATTATTTCATTTTTTAATATATAAATAATACTCTCAAGTAATCATATTTTGTAACTTAATATCTGGATAATTTAATAAAAAATTATTTCATTATTTTATAAATATTATTTATGTTTATTTTTATAAAAATTTAAATAATTCATATATAAATATTTTCATTACGTTATTAAATAATAATTTTAAAATATTCTCAATTTAAACAGTTTTTCCTTAGAAAAAACATTACTTTATTATTATAATTGACATATAAATCACTAGTTATTACAATATTATATATTTATTCAGTATCCATGATATTCATTAAAGTTGTACTGAAATATGATTCCTATAAATAGCTGTTGAGAACAGACACACATTTCCCTTCAACAATGCACAGGTAGTTGTGTTATATAACATATAAAAGTGTTTATATAATAATATGGCATTTAAAAATGTGTGTCTTATTGATAATATGATTATAATTTTATTTTTAGCACAACTGTATATATATAAACACACGTAAGAAATGCTACAAATGTTTAAAACATCTTATAATTTATTATTGAATACATCAGTGATTCAAATGATAAGTAAAAAAATTATGACAAAATGATAAATATTTTTAAGTTTAATTATATATTAAATGATTCTGTAGTTTAAGACATTCAAATCCAATTGAATGAAAGCCAGAATTCAAATATCGAGCGTATAATTCAAGACCAGAGATATTCTTAGCCATTGCTTGTGTTAAGATGTCCTCATTCTTCACGGAATTGAGTTCACAATCAGTTACGACAATCTTTTTATCATATGTTTGCATTGTATCACAGCTATTGACATCATTTTGATAAAACAATTGTTTAAYCAATTGTTTGAGTGGAGGCTTATGTGAGTGAATAGCACTCGGAATCGACAACAGAATACCTGTGCTATTGTGACAGTCGAGTGACTTATTGGACGCTATTATCAAATACTCGAGACTTCCTCTGATTTTCACACTTTCACCACTTGTAGTGATTTTATGCCAAACCAATATGTGAGTACACTTTACGTTAAGAATCGGTAGCATATCATTGATAACAAACTCCCTTTCCTTCTGTGTGGTCCAAACACATAGCTTTATATCTGTTTGTTTTGGAAGTAATTGCAATAATTGTTTCAAATGTTCAGTCATTTKCAAAATGGTTTGTCTGTCATCCAAATGATAGAATCGTTTTCTTTTAGCCGATTTGTTTGACTTATATGGAGGATCAATAACTACAAGAAACTCGTTTGATATCTTAAATAAACCATTGATGTAATGTTCACGCATTTCATCCAATCCTTTGATAACATCAGAGCACATGAATGAACAWTTGGGAGGTATTATAAAGTTACTAAAATTGACACTTTTGTTGCTATTATTGCATAAAAGTTTATCACTATATTCATCAAATTGGATGCTATTTAATGCAATTTGTGCCAATTGTTGAGCACTTTCATTATTGTTGCCATTATTATTATTATTAGCCAACTTATTGACATTTATGATGTGTTTCACATCATTGAAAACATTTCTAATAACAAGTTTTTGTGGATCAGTTAAAAAGTTTTCATAGATTTGGTTTTTTATTCAAAAGTCTTTTACAGCGCTTTTTATTAAGTTTACGATTGCTATCAATTGAATCCTTAATAATTGCCTCCTTTTCTGTTTGCATATAAAACGGTTCATTAATTGAAAATAAAGTTTCATTTAATTTATAGTTTGGTTCACTTTCATTGATAACCCGATTATGCTCTAAATATATGCCAATCATATCATTGTCCAAATTGTTGAATATTTTAATCATTTCTAAAAGTAAAATAAAATTTTATTTCAAAACATTAATGCAATTTTCAAATTACATAAAATTAAAATAATWATGTATAAACTAAACTAATAATTATCGCTGTTTACTATTCATCACATAATCTGTAAGTTATTTTTAAATACGTTATAAATGTTTATAAATTAAAAAATAACATAAAAGATTATTTTTAATAGTTAGTATAATTATTATGCAATATTAAATAATATTTATTTTGCCAAACATAATAGAAATAGTGTTTTAATATCGGTTTAACCTTTAAATAACATTAAGCCGGGTATTTATATTAAATAATAAATTTAATTGAAGATTTCATTTAGTACTTAAAGCATATAATAAAAACATAAAAACACTTTGAATTAGCAATAAAAAGTATATCTAAAAAAAATTATGTGTAGGCTTTATGTCAAAAACTTTTGTGTTTAATATTTACATTTTTGACAGATATAACAATTAATACCTCTTGTAATATATCAAATGTAGTGTACATACAATATAATACAAACAATGTATATGTAATCAAAATGATTTAATCACAAAGTTTATATATTATCTAAACATAGATGTATGACTCAAAATACTAATATAAATTTAGTACAGTATATAGAATAATATAAAATTTATAATTTATATTATGAATTATAAATATTATAACTTTTAATAGACTATGCTTTCAGTGTTAACCCCTTAAGTGCGGTTATATTTTATTGAAAAACCGATTGGTTAACCAATGGTACGGCTAATTACCGGCTGAAGGTCTTGGATCACAACTTTTTTTATTATTTCAAAGAGCATGTCTTGCGCTGACATTACATCACTGGTGTTTCAAATATATACTGTATATAATACAACGCAAAACCACTATTTTCAACATATAAACACAATATGCCATTGAATATACTGTAGTTTATTATATCGAAAGATGCAGTTTTTAGTATTGAAAAATATATAGCGACAACCTTGACATAAATGTATTGCTTTATACACACTATGTATTTTCACTATACTTTTGGTACTTAGATATCATTAGATAAAAATAATAATAATAAATCCAACTTAGCATGACTTCACGTTAAATACAATTTTTTTTAATATGTTGTTTATCGCAACTAAATTCATAAATTTGATAACATATTTGAATAATAAAACAATACCAGCCATTTAATAATTTTTAAAAAAATGCAATATTGTTATCGAAAAAAATGCCGACAAATGAGAGAACGATTTTTTTGGTGATATATTCTGTCAATAAAATAATTGCTGTAAATATTATGTGTGTATAACTAAAACTTTGTTGAAAAAAAACATTATACTAAATGAATGGATACAATTGAGATGTCAGCCCTTAATAATTTATTAATTTTAATGTGATTTCTCATTTTCAAAACATGATATCAACCATAGGTTTACGTGAATTTTGTTAGAAATAATAATCAATAAAAATCATCGATTTTGTAAGTTTTCTCAGTCACGCTATTCACTAATAAATTCTTACAGTATATGATATGTTCTCAAAATATAATGTTTAACGGAATTCAATGAATTTAGTGCTTTTAGTTATTCTACTATTATTAGTGTTTATATTTAATATCTAAATATTTATTTATTTTTTAACCAAAAATAAATAAACAATTATAAATAAAATTTTTATCAAATGATTTAGACCTTTAAATGATTAATAAGTCATGGATTGGGACGAAGAGTTTAATAGTTACAGATATGACAGCGATAAGTACGAGAAGAAGAGGATTAAAGTACTTCAGAAGGAACGGGAATACATACAGACAAAGACATTCACAAAATGGATTAATTCAATCCTCATTAATGTAATTATCATTTTTTGTTTTCTTAATTATTATCTTATAATTAAACTAAATTTCCCTTATATTTCTATAAATATTTATACAAGGTCAGTTAACTCACGATTTGTCAAAATAAGTTTTTATAAGTTTATAATAAAAATAACATAAAAACATAGAGTAATTAGTTTTGTTCAGTGAAGTTCACACCCCATAAAAATTAATTTAAATTTAATTATATTTAATGTATTTTTTAATCTTTTTTATATCATTAAAAAAATAATAACAAATTMAAAAAAAGGCTTTTTTGGAAGTAAATAACATATTTGTCGATCTATCGGATGGTATAATACTTTTAAAATTATTAGAAATAATTAGCGACGAAAAGCTGGGAAAACCAAATAACGGCAAAACCAAAGTCCATAAAATTGAAAACGTCTGCAAAAGCTTAACCTTTTTGAAGACAAAGGTTTTTATAGCTTTATTTAAAACATTTTTTTTTAATTTAATAAAATTATATAAATTTATATATATTTCTAATTATTTTATTCTAATTTATATCAACAAAAAAATAAGGTTCGTCTCGAAAATATTAGAGCCGTTGATATTGTTGAYGGAAATGAACGATTAATTTTGGGTCTTCTCTGGACTATAATCTTAAGATTTCAAATACAGAGCATTGAAATACACGACGAAGAAAGCTCTGAGAAAAAGCACGCAAAAGAAGCGCTGCTGTTGTGGTGTCAAAGGAAAACCTCTGGTTATCCGTTCGTTGATATTACAGATTTTACACAAAGTTGGAGATCAGGGATGGCATTCAATGCCCTGATTCACGCACACCGACCAGATCTTGTCAATTACCAGTCCTTAAACTCTCGTAATCCCATCGAAACACTTAACCTCGCCTTCGATGTCGCCAAAAATGAATTGGGAATCTTAAGACTCTTAGACGCTGAAGACGTGGATACTGTAAATCCAGACGAAAAGTCTATAATGACATACGTCTCGTCATATTATCATACATTTGCCAAAATGAATAGTGAGACCAAAAAAGGTMAAAGAATAGTCAATATTGTCCAACAATTTATTGATGTCAATAGACATCAACCAAACTATGTATCGTTTACATCAAATCTTCTCGATTTGATTCAAAACAAAATTACTGAACTCGAAGGTAAAGCGTTGACTAATACCATGGAATTAGAAGAACTTCAATGCTATTATCATTTCATACAAGATGTCGATTCAGAAGAGGTAACTATCAATAAATGGCAGCGAATATGTCAGGAGATAATTCAGTCAAAGAATCTCTTGGAAGTCATATCATTACAACAAAAACATAGTGTTTTAGAGACTGAAATAAAATTACATAAAACTCAAATAAATAAAGTCATTGATAATGGAAACAAACTATTAGATAACAAACATCCAGAATCGGGTGATATTAAACTAAAAATTGATATTTTGATTAAACAATGGGAACGACTACTACAACTAGTCGACCAAAGGAGTAAACAATTAATTGATGTCATGAAAGACATTCAATTTCAAACCGATGCCATTATAGATGGTAATTCTGAGGTCATCCAAAAAAGTCAGTCAACGGCATCTGAAGTTAACAATGAAACCAATGATTTAGTACTTTCACAAACACATTCCCAACTGGAGAGTGAAGTTCAGGCGTATGAAAATGATATCAAACGACTAAATAAAATGATTAAAACAGAAACGTCTTCGTTATTATCAGAATTGTTGGATACTTTAGAGCATTTGCTCTTAGAATCGGCCCATAAATTGGCCAAAAATGAACCAAACGATGATATCGAAAGACAAATCACAATATTAGAGACACAATGGAAACAAATCTTAGAAAATATGGAAACCAAAGAACACAAGTTAGCGACAGTACAGGACATCAATAGATCTAATAAAGCTGTCGCTGAAGATAGTCTTTCGCAAATCCAACAAAAGTTTGCAGCAATCAAATCAAGAGATTTCGAAAACAATACAAATTTAATTGAAAATCAAGAAAACGAAGAGTTAGAGAATAATTTGACAGAAATCGAGACACAACTTCCTATTCTTGTTAATGATTTTACAAAAGAGTTAGAAAAATATATAGATTTTGAAGAAATGGGAAGTGATATAAAAAGTTGTAAAAAATTGATACAAAAGCACAGCGCTGTCGAAGTAGAGATCGATGTAATCCAACAGAAAATTCAAAAACTTGTCGAAACACAACAACTGACAGATGAAAGACATTTCGACGGAAAGAAAATAATAGATTCGTGTCATTCAGTGTTCAATAGTTTGACAAAAATGAAACCTAAATTAGATGAAAGAAAAGACAATTTATTGGCGTCTTTGAAGTTCTTTGAATTTGAGTCTAATCTCAATGCAAATCTTCAGTGGACTCAAGAACACATTGATTTAGCCAAAACAACAACAGTTGGACACAATATGACGGACGCACAGAATATAATTAAGAAATTCATAAAAAATATCGAACAAGAAGTTGATGGACACAAGAAACAAATACAGAAAACATTGACAAAAGGGCAACAATTAATCAGTGATAAACATTTTAAACACCAATTAATTGATGAGAAATGTCAAGAATTGGAACAGAAATGGCAGCGACTGAAGCAATTAGTTGTCGAACGAAAGAAATTATTGGAAATATCGCTTACAATACAACAACTATTATCTGAGACCAATGAAGTCGAGTCGTGGATCAATGAAAAGTTCAATATTCTTAATAGTAATGACTACGGAAAAGATGAGAACACGGCTATTAAATTGTTGACCAAACAAAAAGGTATTGAACTCGAAGTTGACACCTATTCGACAATAATTGTTGAAATGAGTCGTCAGACAAAACATATTGTCGATCAACTGAAGACAACTACTTTTTCCGATTCTTTCAGTGATGAAGAATCACAATCTGAAGCACAACAAAAACAAAGAGTTAACAAACACGAGAATATTCTTAAAGATTTCGAGAAAATCATTGAAAATCGTATGCAAGACATCGATCAACAGTTGAAAAGTTTGCAATTTGTGGCCAATCAAAAGCGTCTCCGACTGATTCAATCAAAACATTTTCACGAATTCATGAGAGAATCCGATCATTTCTTGTCGTGGATTTCCGAACAAATGGTTAACGCCATTAGCGAAGATTTTGGCAAAGATTTCGAACACTTACTGGTTCTTCAGTCAAAGTTCTTTGATTTTAAACGCAAAATATTAGCAAACGATGAAAGATATAAGTCTTTGTTAGAGTCGGGACAAAAGCTAATCAAAACAGAACCAAACGATATAATTGAAAGAAGAATTGAAAAAATACAAGAGTTTTGGAATCAATTATTGGAGAACATTGAGGCCAGAGAACAGAAGTTGTCGGCCGCACAACAAATACATCGATTCAATAGAGATGTCGTTGAAGTGCTTACAGAAATTCAACAGAAATTGTCTACAATTAACGAAAATGAGTTTAAAGACTTGGAAGATATGGAATCACTTAAATATAGAGACGAATGTATTGAAAAGGAAAGAAATTATATTGAAATTCAGATAAAAAATTTGTTAGAAAATGATAGACAAGAATTGATTAAAGAGTTTCCAAATATGACAATTAATTTTCAAAATAAAATCAGTGAAGTTCAGGATAATTGGCAGCAATTAAGTAAATTATGTAATAATCAGAGAAAACACTTGTTTGACAATTGTATTCAAAAATTTCTTGAAGAAGTCAAAGAAACTGACATTTGGGCCAATAATCTCATTAATCACAGAATGAAAGCAACACTTAATAACTCAAATACAATAACTGATGTCAGAAATGATTTACAACTTCACGACGACATTAAAACTGAAATAATAGCCCGAAAAGACACTTTTCTGTCTCTTAAAGAGTTTGGACACAAACTTCTTCAACAATTCAATACTAGTGATGAACAAAATCAAAACCCAAATAAAGATTTAGTTAAAAATGGTTTGAAAAAATTAGAAGACTTGCGACGATCTCTGGATCAGGTGTGGGAAGAAAGGAAACACTACTTAACACAATCACTTCAATTGCAGTTATTTAATCAACTCTTGAAACAATCAGATGATTGGCTTTCAACTGAAGAAAAATTTCTTAATAATGAAGATTTGGGCGAATCATTAGCCGGAGTCGAGTCATTGATAAGAAAAGACGATAACTTTGAGAAGACATTGCAAACACAACAAAGAATTTCAGAATTGGATAAATTTGCCAATGAATTGGTCCAAAACAATCACTTTGACTCAGAAAACATTTTGGCAAAGAGTCGGTCAGCCGTTTCACGAAAAGATCGTTTGTTGGAAGTATCAAAACAACGTCAAAATAAATTGAATGATTCAAAACTATTTCATCAATTCTTGCGAAATGTCAACGAAATCGTCGGATGGCTTAATGAGAAACTTAAGGTAGCGAGTGATGAGTCATATAGAGATTCAATCAATTTATTGTCTAAAATCCAAAAACACGCGGCTTTTGAGGCAGAATTAGCAGCTAATAAAGGAAGAGTTGATGGCGTTCTCACTGAAGGCGAATCACTCATTGGTTCCGGACATTTCATGAGTGATGAAATTCAAAGTCATTTAACTCATATTGAAAAGTCGTGGCGTAATCTCTTGGATGAAATCACTCTCAAGAAAGAGCGACTACAAGACGCTTATCAGGCGCTTCAGTTTCACCGAATGCTCGATGATCTCGAATTTTGGATGACTGACATGGAATCAGTTTTAGCCGATGAAGATCACGGAAAAGATCTGATTAGTTCACAGAATATTATGAAAAAACATCAACTCATCGAAAATGATATTAACAATCACAGCGAAAACATTGAACAAATCAAAGACCTGACCACAGCTTTCATACAAAACAATCATTTCATGAAAGACGAGATCGAAGAAAGGGTTAATCATGTGATTCAAAGATATCAAGCTCTTCACAAACCGATTATAATCAGACGCGAAACCCTTGAAGAGGTACTACTTTTGTTTCAATTCAAACGCGATGTCGACAATGAGTTCAATTGGACTAAAGAAATGCATTTGCAATTAATGGTCACCGATTTGGGCAACAGTTTACTTGATGTCCAAAAAGTTCACAAAAAGCATCACTCACTCGAAGCAGAGATTGCCGCTCGGGAACCACTGTTGACAACAATCATCAGTAAAGGACATTCATTGATTCGATCCCAACATTTTGCTGCCAACGAAATCGAGTCATTAATCAATGAGCTTCAGAACAAAGTCCAGACCATCAAAGATGCCGCAGATATTCGTCGACTTCGACTCTCGGATGCCATTGAATCGCAACAATTATATTCAGATGTATTGGAAGCAGAAAATTGGTGGTCAGAAAGGATGTCATTCCTCGAAAATGAAGACTATGGCAGAGATGAAGAGACTGTGATATCACTCATTAAAAAACTGGAACTAATAAAACGCGATTCCAAGCGTTATGTGTCTACAAATTTGTGGATAATTCACGAAATGAGAAATACTTTGATTGAGAGAAACCATTTCGATAGTAAACTAATTATTCAAATGATAACAGAATTGGACCAAAAATTTAGTCATTTGAATGATTTATGTGATAAAAAATATTTAAAATTATTGAGAAATAAAAAGCATTTTTCATTCATCAGAGATGCAGACAAACTGTTTATTTCGATCAAAGAACAGAAAACATTCATCAGTTCTGAAGATTATAATCAAAAAGAAGAAGAAGATGTAAAAAATAAATATTTTATAAAATCATTGAATAAAATAGAAGAAGGAATCGCTTCTTTACAATCAATAGTCGACGAAGAGATACCAGAAAATCAAGAGAAACTAAATCAACTATCGATGGCTTTGAATGAATTGAAAGACTTATCTGAGTCACGATTGGACGCACTTAACAACTCTAAAGAAATTCACACTTTTGATAGAAGTATTGACGCAACCATTGCTACCATTGAAATGAAGGACTCGAGTACTTCTATGGATATGTCATACAATCTTAACGATCACATGAAACCAATTAAAGAAATTGATTTCATTGATGATAAACAACACTCAAATACAGTTTATCAGAGTTTTATCAATGGTTCGGACAATAATCATCAGAAATACAATACTAATACAGCTTTCGATAAAACAAATCCCGAGTTAATGATATCAAATGAAGAAACGCCACTTCTTCCAGACAATTGTATGACTGAATCTCTTAAACTAAATAATTTCAGTAAAAATGATTACCAATCAATCAGTCACTCAAATAAAAATCTAATTAGTTTTAACAAATTAAGTAATTGTAATAACATTAATAATAACCAAATCATACAATTAAATAATAAAAAAACTGATGAAACTCTGACCAATGGAAATATTGATGAAACTGATGACTTTACCGATGGTTCAACACATATGAATTCATTGATATTACAAAATGGACAGACATTTGATATTATCGATAATACTAATAGACTTCAAAGTCATTCAAATGAAAAACTTAATAATAATAATAATACCAACTCTGGGTTAATAGTATCGACTGAAATGCCACTAAATTCAGACAATTGTGAGACTGATTCTCTTAAATTAAATAATGACAATTCAAATATCAGTAACAATGATAATCAATCAATCAGTCACTCAAATAAAGATATACAAGTAATAAGTTGTGACAATTTAACTGGTGATCACATTAGTAACGACCAAATCATACAATTAATTAACAAACAAACTATTATTGAGGARATGTCACCAACAGTTGACACCATTAATCAAAAAACTGGTAGAAAGTGTTTGGATGACAATAATATCATAAATGATAGCAATTTGTTGTCAAATAATAAATTAGTGGTAATCAATGATGAGATAAAACCAATTATTGTCACAACAGATAATTATTTGGATATTAAAGACAATAATAATCAATTAAATGAAGAATTTATTTGTAACAATAATTATGATAAATTTGAATGTTTTTATGATGAATATAAAAGTAAGAAAAACCAAAATGAAATTGATAATCATAAAAGTAACCATGATAATTTACAATTTATAATAAGCAACAATGATAATTATGATATAAGTCCCGATTTGGGTAATAAACATCTCAATGATTGCTATAATTATGAATCACCAAAGTTAAGCCATTTAGATAATAAGTTAGACAACAATGGTGTTGAGTATCATCAAGATATCAACCAATGCAATGAAACTGAACAAAATGATGTCATATGTCAAGAGTGTATTGATAGGGATCAAGTGACTCAATTGATTACTGAAGACTCTATACACACTAAAACCAATGTACATGAAGAGCCCATTAAAATGGTAAATCAGAGTTTGGGTAATATAAATGAAAATCAAACTAATTTGGACATAAATGATAGTAATATTAGTGATAAAAATCATAATAAAACTGATTTGAATAACACAAGTGATGATTATGATAAAAATATTGACCAAAATTTACAAATTAAAAACCAGCAAATAATTGATGAAAAGATTTTACCGAAATATTGTTTGAATAATGAAAAATTGGAAAATGCTTTCAAAGAAAATTTGGTCACAGATTCAATGATTACAACTGTTATGCGAAGAAATCGTAAGAGAAGAAAATGTGAGAAAAATATAGAAAAATTGCCAGAATTTATGGCACAGAATAGCRACGAAAATAGAAAATCTCGTAAATTAACTGAAGAAGACTTGGAAGCAATCAAACGATTTTCATTTACTGATGAAACACTATGTGATCAGTTCTGGACCGATGAAACACTTTTAGCTGATTCTGTGACTAACAATATAGATATCAATGATAGTATAGATAATCGGCAAAAAATATCAACATTGAATTCAAATAAATTGAATGACAACTATTTGGATAATAAACTAAAATATCGTTTTAATGATGTGACAGATCTATCAAATAATAACTATTTAAACAAATATATTATTGATAAACTTCAAAATCATATCAATAGTGTCACCGATAATGATGTTGATTATCGTCGCATTTCCAATGAATGGACAGATGAAATATTACTGGTCGATGAGTTTAAYGACAGTACCATAACTGATGACACTTTGACGATAGCAAGTATTGATGAAACTGACGACTTTACCAATGGTTCAACACCTATGAATTCACTGGTATATCAAAATAGACAGACAATRGATATTATTGATAATACTAATAGACTTCAAAATCATTCAAATGAAACATTTAATAATAATAATACCAACTCTGGGTTAATAGTATCGACTGAAATGCCACTAAATTCAGACAATTGTGAGACTGATTCTCTTAAATTAAATAATGACAATTCAAATATCAGTAACAATGATAATCAATCAATCAGTCACTCAAATAAAGATATACAAGTAGTAAGTTGTGACAATTTAACTGGTGATCACATTAGTAACGACCAAATCATACAATTAATTAACAAACAAACTATTATTGCGGAAATGTCACCAACAGTTGACACCATTAATCAAGAAACTGATAAAAAATGTTTGGATGACAATAATAGCATAAATGATAGCAATTTGTTGTCAAATAATCAATTAATGGTAATCAATGATGAGATAAACCCAATTATTCTCACATCAGATAATTATTTGGATATAAAAGACAATAACAATCAATTAAATGAAGAATTTATTTGTAACAACAATGATGTGAAGCAAAATACAAAAACAAAATTTAATAATAAATATTTTGAAAATAATCACCAATTAATAGTCAATGATAATCTAGAATTAAACAATGATAATTTAGAGTTTACAATTGAAAACAATCAAAATATAAGTCCCGATTCGGGTAATAGCGACTTAATTGATTCCGATAATTATGAACCAACAAACTTAAGCTATTTAGATGATGATTTGGATGACAACGATGATGATGATGATTGTCGTCAAGATATCAATGAATGTGATAAAAATAAACAATGCGATATCATATGCCAAGAATGTGTGGACACGGATCAAGTAAATGATCTAATTAGTAATGATATTGACAACAATCACATATCAGTTAATAATATCCATGAAAGTCAACTTAACGTTAATTTAAATTATGAAATTGATATTCAAAACCAACAGAAATCTATTGATAATAGTGTATCTATTGATAAAATAATTTCGACATTAGATGACACAATCGACTTAAAATACAAAATCTTAAAATCTGAATCCATTAAATTGGTTGACAATTCTATAAATGATATTAAATTAGATAATAATGATAACAACGAAAGTGTAGTCAAAACTAATTTTACAAATAATAAGATATTAGAGAATAAAACTATTGAAGCGATCAATACTGAAATAAAATCACAATTAAAAGAAAATATTAGATTACCTGAAGAAATAGGTGGATCTCAATGTAATTACAAAAATGAATTACAGTTAACACATGAATCTATTAAATCTATGGCTAATTCTAATGAAAATAACAATGAATTAAATTTAAGTGTAAAACAAAATAATGATATAACAAATAAATTAGTTATTACATTAAATGATGAAAATAATGACAATAATAATATAATGGATGAAATAAGAGATAATCAGAATTTAATTTCAGATACAATGCAAACAAATATTAAAAGAAAAAATCGAAAAAAGAAAAGAAAACGAGTGAAGAATATACAAGAATTTCCTGAACTCGAGACACAGATTATGACAGATAATAATGAATTAATGGTTAATAATAACATCGAAGATGAAGAAGAAAATCACTTAAATGAGACATTAATTTGTGACAATTACTGTAATGAGTCGTTAAATATTGATAATCAATATAATAACAATAACTTTAGTGATAATTGTAACGACAATGATATTCAATCAAATGGTAACAATCAAGTGATGGCTAAACATATTTTACAAGAATATCAGCCGACAAGTGAAGAAAATAACGAAAATATCGATTCCGATAAAAGCGACCAAAATTTTTCAGATAATTACAATAAAACTCAATTTTTGAATACAAAAGATAATGAAATTGAAATAAATGACAATAAATGTATAGATATTGATAATCAACAAGAAATAGAAGACGAGGACAAAGATTTGGATCAAATTAATAGACTCTCCAATCAAGACAATGTATATGACGCTGACTTATCCGATAACACCAACATTGGCCACGAAAGTGATAATGAAAACAATCAATTGTTGGATGAAATACGAGCTAAATTTGGACCAATTTTTGAAAGAAATAACACAAACACTAATGACAAGAATCTAATATCTATACGATTGAATCAATTGCTAGAAATTGTGACTCAACTTAACAATGATTATGATGTTAAGCAAACAGATTTGATTACAAAAAATAAAGTAAAGATTTTATGTCAAAAGGAAATCAAAAGATTAAGAGATAAATTGCTTAAAGTATTTAGATTTTCTATTATTTCCACAAAAAAACCTATAAATTGTTAATATATTGTTTTTTCCAATTTATTCATTCAACTTAAAAATAGTTACGAAGTGAGTCACCGGAACTAATGGACAGTACAACTAATAGCATTGAGAGGTAAATGTGTTTTATTTATTTATTATTATTATTTAATATTATAGAAAAACATTACATATGTATGTTATAAATCAATTTAAAAAATGCCATTATTTGATGATTGACATAATTGACAGACCGTCGACATCGTCTAAACGAAACCTATTTGGATACGTGAGTCGTGTAATGAAAGCCTCTCTACCGGTTCAGGCGCTTATGTTTCTGCTATTAGGCGCCGCATCACTCGTTCCCACCGTTGATGAAGACTATAGTTGTCTACTAATGAATAATTTTATGCAATCATTTCAACCGATGCTCGACTATCCCAATGGTCCGCCACCGATATAGTGGAGGCGGACGAGTAGGAGGTAGTTAGTCATCAAAACTAAAGTACAGGTGCTTTGAGAAAGAGCTTTCGCAGCTATTTATATATACAGTATATATGCGATGTATAAAATTGCTGTAATATTATACATTATATGGCAATAATCTGTAATTTTTAATAACTGTATATTTATAAATAGCTGTGATTTTGGATATAACTTAACACAAAAAGCTATCAATTAATTATATTTACTGAATTTATGTACATATAGTCATCAACTGTGATAATGATATTTAATACAAAAATTTCAACAACAAAAATGTTAAATATAAGCCTTATTTTTCAAGTCTTCAAACTACTTGTATATATTGAAGATAATGTATATTTAGTGTCAAAAAAGGACTATTAATATGATAATCACATTTCATAAAAAATTATCTAAAAAATATCACATTATTTTATAGTCAAATATATATATATATATTTTTAACTTATTTTTTTGTGTCYAATTCAAATGTAATATATGTTTGTTAGTACATAAATTTATTTTGTATATACCTGTATATGATATATATTTTTGTTTGTATGCATAGATATAGTTATAGTTTACCATAAATAATTTATTACTATTATATATTTATTAAATAAAAATCATAGTTATATACAGTAATTACTGTAATGATTAAACAAAAAAATTGTATATTTGATAAATTGTAATATAAATAAAAAAAACTAAATTTTTAGTTATGATATTTAATTAAAATAGTTGTTGTAATAAAATGAATTAGTCAAACATGTGCTTAATTTATTATTAACTAAATTTTTATAACAATAACAACAAAAATATAAGATTTCAATGCACTTACTTATTGTCGATAAATTGTGGCAAAAAATAAATAGTAGACAAACAATGAAATGCCTAATAATAATAATAATAATTACAAAAGCGATAATTAAAACGATAAGACAATGCAAACAAAAACACAAAAAACACAATTATTTTGATATTTACTTAACAAACAAAAGCACTAAACATATGATATACTGTACAGTACTGTACTTTACTGTGTATTGTATAACACAAGCAATCATATGATTGACTAAAAATAACACTCAAAAAACAATAACACAAACAATACATTAAAAGTCAAAAGTCTAAACACTTTTTTGTTTGCCATTCAATTGGATATTATTTACTGTATATTAAGTATATTAAGTATATTAAGTATATTAAGTATAAAGTGATAATAAACTAAAATATCAAATAGTTATTAAACAAAGCATTCATTGATTGATTGATTGTTTATATAATGAAAACATGAAATCATCGGTTATTGTTTGTCTGTTATTTGCATTGATTATCACCGAAATCAGTGTCGAGTCGTCGACCGAATCCAATACCGGCGGTGACAATGATATTAACAATTTGTTTAATTTGAAAGTATGTCCATAATTATGGTGTCACCGATTGATTCAAACTAAAAAACTAATGACAATTTCCTCTGAATTACAGTCTTCGCGACAATTATTTGACGAGTTTGTCATCAAATACGACAAACCGTACAGAAATGAAACTCAAGGTCTGTAGTTTTCTGGGATCAGTTATGTACCGATAGTACAGTATTAACGCATAATAATAATAATTGTCTGTATTTCAGAGTACGACAGAAGACATGCCATCTTCGAGAAGAATCTAATGACCATTCAGTTGCTTAATGACAATGAATTGGGTACAGCTGTCTATGGGATCACACAGTTTGCCGATCTGTCATCGCATGAGTTTCGAAAATTTTATACCGGTTTTCGGCCCGAACTTCAAGTAAACGACAAAAACTTGCGCCGAATATACGCCGATAATATCCGATTACGAGATTTGCCGCAAAACTTTGACTGGAGATCAAAGTCTGGTGTTGTGTCGGGCGTCAAGAATCAGGGAATGTGCGGTCTGTCACTGAATTTTTGCAATGTTTTTAAATTGTAATTAATAATAATATTATTATTATTTATGATGGCGTCGATGGATAGGTAGTTGTTGGGCGTTCAGTGCCACCGGTAATATAGAAGGGGTGACCGCTGTTGTCACTAACAAATCGGTCTCACTTTCAGAACAAGGTTTCAAATAATTCTATTATTTATTAATTAAAGTTTTTATTTAAGGAAATTTTATTTTATTTTTAATTATAAAGAACTGGTTGATTGTGATAAATATGATCAGGGATGCAATGGAGGACTTCCCACAAATGCCTTTAAGACTATTATTGATTTAGGTTTGTATTAAATAGATTTAAATGAAAAATAAATAAATTTCATATTTAGTTTATAATAAATTTTGTCTAACAAAAGGTGGATTAGAGTCTGAGTCGGACTATCCCTACGATGGACGCRACGAGAAATGCCATTTCAATAAAAGTCTGTCGAAAACATCTATTGATTCCTATGTTGTTTTGCCGGAAGACGAGAAAGCCTTAGCCCAATGGCTCTACCAGTTTGGTCCCATCTCTATCGGGATTAACGCCAATGCAATGCAATTTTATTTTGGCGGTATATCTCATCCGATGAAATGGATGTGTAATCCTAAAAATCTGGATCACGGCGTACTTATCGTAGGGTTCGGTATCGGCAAAACTAAAATAACGCATAAACTGCAGCCCTATTGGATCGTTAAAAACAGTTGGGGTCAGAGCTGGGGTGAAAAAGTATGTATAAAAAAAATAGMTGAATATTTTGTCAAAACAGATTTTTTTTTATTGATCGATATTTTCTATAAATAGGGATATTATCGAGTATATAGGGGTGATGGCACCTGTGGTCTCAATTTGATGGCTTCCTCCGCTTGGATTGATATTCATTCAAAGTACTAAATGGATAAAAATTTAATATATAGATCTATATATATATATATATATATATATATATATATTGCATTTACGGTATTTATACCAATATATATTCAATATATACAGTACCGGTAGTTATTTTTTATTGAAAAGTTTAAATAAGTCTCAAATGTACAAAACTTATTTTTTCTGATATTATATTATTATATGCCTTAAATAATATATATCTAAAAGAGTAAGTTTTTAGTGAATTAACATTTTTATTGAAAGCAATTGATGTCTTTTTTAGACAAAAATATTTTTAAATGATTTTGTTATCAATAAAATGTTTGATATTTTCAATTTATTTTATCTATTCTAATTTATTTGACATTTCATTTGTGTATATATTAACATTTATGCATGAATTTTACAAACAAACATAACTTATAAATAAAATATAACATTAATTTTTTAACCCCCAATAGGATTACATATGTTTTACTTGAAATCTTGTTTTACAAGTAATGTCTATAAGGTATTGAGTCAATGCATAGGTAGATATTAAGAGTATCGTATTATACATTTTATTAAAAGCTATTATACTGTATATGGAAAAATACAGTATATTTTATTCAAAAATGATTAAATTGACCTAAAGGTTAAACATCCTTATTTTGTCAGTGATGTTCACTTAGCTTTATATGATATACAATATTAGATTAAATGGATTATTCAAATTTAGCAATTAAAATTAAAAATATATGTTTTAAATAAAATGTTTTAAATATTTTTGTAAAAGATGAAATTTAGAATAAAGTATATTTAAATTTATATTGGACTAATTTAATTAAATATTACTGGTAAAATATTAAATTAATTTTTAAAAATATAATTATCAGTAATTAGAAATGTTAATTTAAAAAATCAATATCAACAATAAAATTTATTACTACAATAAGTACAGTATAATATTTAATTTTTATTTAATATATAATTTTGCTTACTTGAAAAAGGATAAAAAAATATTGTAATACTCATTGTATTACAAATATTATACTGTATTTCTATAAATACTTATAATAATTATTGTAATTCATTGTCTGTTCAATTCAGTAAAACATATAATAGCAGAATATTCCATACATTTTTGATATATATATAAGAATTTTGTTTTTTGCTAATTATTWTGTGATTCTTAGTAAAAATTATTTTTTAATAACAACTTACAGTATTATATTTAGAGATGGGAAAATAGAAAGTTTCTAATAAATTTTCGTGAGAAAGTTTCTAGAAAATTTCTCAGGAATAAATTTCTAGAGAAATTTAACATTATTGTTATACTATGGGATCCCCATATCTTTAGCTATTATAATACTATAAATATATTAATGAGACAGAATACTGTACATATAATATTATACTATTATACAAATGGGATCCCTATATAAATAATTATAATTATTTAATAATAATCAGTTTTGTAAAATTTTATTGACCTTTTTATTATAGTATAGTTTAGTATAATTAAATAAATATATTTTTTACTTTAATTAGTAATTTAAATACTAATACTAATATTTAATTATTACTTTTAAAAACAATGTTACAAGATAACAAATATAGAGAAAACAAAATTAACATGGGGATCCCATAGATAGAAATTTCTTTTAGAAACTTTCTAGAAATTTCTYTATTATTTTATAAATTTCTCTTTTTTGCCAATTATATTACTTAAATGTTTTTTTAAAACTTCAAAACTAGGATCAATATAAAATGTTTTACATCATTGCCTAAATTAACTTTATTGATTTACTATTAAATTTTGTTGTTATATAAATGAGACAATTAATATTTATAAATTCTTAAATAAAAATCTAAATAAGAAAAATAATTTTTAGTGTAAAGTTTGTAAGTTTAAATTTTTTTTAGATAAAAAACTAATTAAAATTCTCAATATTTATAAATATTTATTTATATTTTTTAGACATTTTGCTACTAACAGAAATWTTTTTAACTAAACTGAATAAATACTAAAAAATTTTTACATCAATATAAATCTCTAATTATGCTTAAACTAATATGTAATTTTGACAAAAATATATTAATATTAATTGTTTGATAATTTTTTGAAATTAATTAGATTATTATTTTTTTTGTCATTTAAGTAATTAATAAKTAGAATATAGGTATTAAATGTGCTGTACATAGAATATACTGTAGTGTAAAACAATGATTATATTATATACAAATTCACAAAATAATTAACAATTCATTTACTACAAACAAAATAAAATTTTCAGCAAATTATATTAGTTTTTAATGAGTTAATTAACTATAATTGGTATAATTGGCAAATTGTTAACATTGTTATGTAATACAGTATAATATTTAAATGAAATTTTTATTGATTAATTCTTCATTATTTAATAATTATTTTTGCTAAAATTATTTTAAATATGCTTTATTATCTATTATCTATCATTTATTATTAATTATTTTTTAAATATTTAAAATATGTATATAAACTATTTACTGGTATATATTTAATTAAAAATATTTTTAATTATAAACATGTATATAAATTATATATTTATTATAATWGATAAATAAATATAACTTTATTGTCATTTTAAATTTGAAARAATTAATTATTAAAAACAATATTTATTATTAAGTATTAATTGTAATATTGAAATAATGTATTATTATTACATTGATTCTAAAGAAGATTAAAGTATTAATGTATGAATAAGTATATTTTAAGTACATTTAGTATTATTTTATATATTAATAATATTAATAATAATGAATTTTTGTAATAATAATAAATTGAAAAAATATATGTTCTCAAAATATAATACTATAATAAATACAATATATTGAAATAAATTAAGAATAAATGAATAATAAAATAATAATAATAATAATAATAATAATAATAATAATAATAATAATAATAATAATAATAATAATAATAATAATAATAATAATAATAATAATAATAATAATAATAATAATAAGAGGAGGCACAGTGGTGTAGTGGTTAGTGTGTAGGGCTATGTAGTGTAATGGAGAGTAAGATCTATAGTTCGAGCCCCGATGTGGTAAAGCAATTTTTCTGAAAAAAAAATTGTTTTAACTGTGCTTCCCGTCCCTGCCCAACCAACGCTGTTTAGGACGGCCAACTTAAGTAGTATGGGGAAAGCGGGGTGCTAAGTGAGGACGAGTTTCTGCCCGACCTCGGGTATCGGTACTTCGGTATCGGTACCCACCTGGGGGTACCCGCAAGGGTGCCCCCACCCGGGGGTGCCAGTAAAAAGGTGCCCCCACCCCGAAGAGACGTCCGCAAGGATGTCTCTTCACCCTTCGAGTAGTTACTCGTCCTCACACGCAATGGCCACTTTTGTTTCAAAAAATAAAAAAATCCTATTTCAACAAACACATGTTAGTGGTGAGAAATGGGTGGCAATAGACACATGTTAGTGTTGAGCTTATTCTAGGGACTGGGACCCCGTAAAAAGGCCAAAAACAAATATATATATAATTATGATTACACGTAGTCGAAGGAATAACGGGGGGTGTTCGGGAGGTACCCTCTCAAATAAATCCCGCGTTCAGCAGGTAGGCATTGACTGCAGTTCGTTAAGTATGCATCATATCCCACGCAGTGATGTGCTATGCGGGCAAAGCTGTGATGTAATGCGACCGCAGACTAGTCAACAAAATCAGACTAACCTCCAAAATGTTTCAGTTCAAGCTGGTTCTCAGCGACAACTGACCAATTTGGTTGAAAAATCGCAAAAGCGCATGAAATGGATACATGAGATGAATACCTTGATAATGCGCGAATACTACAGATCAACTCGACTCGAAACAAATATGACTGATTACAGAAACCAAATTTACTTAGCATTCAAACAGAAATATCCAGAACTAAATGTAACGGAACAAAGGATTGCAGACCAGCGGCGATTCTTAGCAAAGAATAAGAAAATATCCCCAATAGAATTACAAGAAATCAAAACGCAAGTGGCACATGAACTATCATTAAATGAAACAACTGAATTAAATACCACAGTAGAAGTAGTGCCAGAAATGGAAGAGACACCTACAACAACAGATAACAGAATCAATACAAATGATGAAATAAATAGAATAACAGCAGAAAATGAACTAAAAACTTCTTTAGAACAATATAAAGACTTTGAAATAGAACTCAGACCTAAGTTACCAAAAATAAAAAGTGGCGTAAAAACAAGATCTACAATAATAACAATTAATGATATACTTAAAGATTACATCGAAGATAACATGTCGTTGAGCACAATTAATACAATAACATACTGTGCAGCAGTAGCAGTATCGAGACTCTTAGGCTACAAAATACAACACATGTCAACTACAAAACTAAATCAAGAAAATATAATACCTAAGTGGCAAAAGCGAATAGAGACACGTATAGAAGGGAAAAGACAAGTAATAGGAAGAATAACGCAAGTGTTAAATGGAAACAAATCAAAAAGACTTAACCAATCATTAAAAGATATATACCGATTATTACAGACAAAACCTGGAAAACCTGAATTTGAAGCTATTATCCGGAATTACAACGACACATTAAAACAAACAGTTCAAGCACTATCACAAAGAATTAGAAGATATAAAATACAAAGCGAAAGACGAAAACAAAATACAATGTTCTATAATAACGAAAAAATGTTCTATAGAAATCAAAATAAAATAAATTCAAGCAATAATAACAATACACCACAAATAGATGAAATAGAAAACTACTGGAAAGAAATCTGGAGTAACCCAAAGGAATATAAAGAATCTAATTGGATAAATGATATTGAAGATGAAAATAAAGAAATACCACCTATGACTTCAGTAAATATAATTAAAGATGACTTAACCGAAGCCCTCAAGAAATCCCACAATTGGAAAAGCCCAGGACAAGACAAAATACACAACTTCTGGTATAAACACTTTACAACAGTTCATCAACCAATGGCAATAGCAATGAATAAAATAATACAAACAGGACAAACCGATGACTTCCTCACTTCCGGAATAACATATCTACT